CAACGGAAAGAAACCCAATCAAGCCTGGAAATCAAATTCCTGTTATGCAATGTAATGTTCTTCTATTTATTCCTCGCTCTTTTTCAGACAGTTACAGAGGATTTTTTTTTTTTTTTTAAAAAAAAAAAAGCAGCTTCATTCTTCTTTCTTTTCTTGCCTGTTTTTGCTGTTAACAGTCACTATTGCCCTTTGTTCTTTGAGCAACAGTTGTCTGGACAGTTTGGAGTTGCAGTTTCATGTGTTAAACTTTCCTATTGAATGGCTTGGAACAGTGTATAATGATGGATCAATCCTAAAGGTGTTCAGCCTGAGGGGTTTTTTGTTTTTGTCTTATGGACACTGCAGTGGTGTCCTGACTGTGCCTTATGCTGTTGTGCAAGCAATTAAATTACCTGACTGCATTCCTGGTGTCTTGGTGTCTCTTTCTTCATTCAGTATTTTTTAATCTCTGGTTATAACTGCCCTAGGTGTGGAGTAACCTCTCCACTGGATACCTCTTGTTTGAATGCACCACTTTGTGACCCTCAAGCCTTCAGCTAACTTCTCCTTGGGCATCTTTTACCAAGCACTGAGTCTTCTGAGCTCTGTCCTCCATGCAGTATAGGGGTGCACAGTCATCATCTTTATTTCTAACACCCACAACACGGGCTGGGACAAACTTGCTGCGAGGCAGCAGTCTGCTCTCCTGCTCCAGTTCAGGAGAGTCGCTATTCAGGTGGGAAAAGTGCTGGTCTCTGCCCTTCTCCTCAACGGGCTGATCCTTGGCATCGCCGAGCCGCTGTCTCCCTCCTCTCTGCTGCTTCTTTGTCTTGTCATACCAGGGGACTTTGTTTTTCTGAATCATTGTTGAATTAATTTCTTCGTTATAAACCACTGCTGACTGGTATCAGCTCAGCAATCTTGCAGTGTTCTGGCTTTGTTTGTACTTTATCTTGCAGGCTCTCATAGCCTACACGCTCCCACACTTGCAGGCGGTGATAACTACAGCTCATCGTATTTCCCTTAGTAAAACTGGCTTGTGGATCACAATATTTTCTCGTTCTTATCTTGCAAGTTCAGTTATGAAAGATGCACTAGAACACCCTCTGGCAGTGAGAGTCTGCATCACCTGCTCGGTCTAAACATCAACACTGTGAAAAGAAGAGCTCTTTACAACTTTTGCTATTTAATCCCACAATGCAGCATAGGCACACTTTGAAGATATAGTGTCCCACCAAGATAAATGGTGCTGGTTTTGGAGAAAAAAGCATCCAGTACTGAATTTTTGGCCAAAGAAGCCTTGATATTTTTAAAAGAAATCCTGTTAGGTAGTATGAAATAAAAATGTATCAAGTCAGTTGTGCAGGGGGATCTGCTCAACACAGGCAGGTTAAAGAAAGGTAAGAGGGAGGAGCAATTTAGTAATCCAGTGGAAATTTTGGTGCTTAGATTCTGCGACTTTTAATGAAGCCTGGAGTGCTGAGCTCTCAGGTGGTTTGGGGAATACTTCAGCCTTCAAGATCAGACTGTTTCAGAACAGGACCAAGAAAGGGTAGAAGTTCTGTGCGCCATGGAGTTTATTATCAGATGACTCTGCGCGTGGATGTGAGAGACACACCTGCGTGGGTCATCCCTGAGGGCTGTGGACTCCGGAGATGGTGAGCCAGTCAAATGTATCCTCAGCTGCGGGGCATGCTAACAGAAGCATGGACTAACTCATCTCACACCAGCTTTTGGCTTTCATCAGGTTCCTTCAAGAAATGTTACAGCCTGCTAGTCCAAGAAAAAGTGGATAGACTTCTGCCAAGTTAGAGACCTGAGCCAGCTTGTGATATGATGCTGAGGGAAGAGGAGCCAGCGAAGGAAGGGAGGGGATGAGATAGGACAGGACTGAGGGAATGGGAATGCGTTGGGCAAGAGGAAGACCATCTCACCGAGGCAGTGCTAGTCCTGTAGCTGGGTGCGGCTGCCCTTGAGACTGCAGCCTAGATCATTTCCAAGTGCGATGGCTGGGTCCTCGGGACAGTTCTGCTCAGTCGAGTGTTTGCATCTATGAAAGAACATTCAGTTAGCTAATAGAGACATGGCAATTGGCTGTGGTAATTGGTGTGCTGTATCTACATAAAAAGCTGCCTTTAGTAGAGCACGGTGTTTGCTCATCTAATCTTGTGTCCCATCTTAGCCACACCAGTTATTTGTTCCTTTGGAGAAAATACTCCCCGAGGGTTGAGGCAGACAGCAGAAAGAAATAAAGCTGCCCTGTTACTTAGCCACGTTCTTCCCAAGAACATGTAGACGATGTTGTTTTGTCCTAAGTCCCTTAACAGAGAGCTCGAGGAGAGATTTCACAATCATAAAAATATAATTATCCCCAGGGCTTTGGAGAAATAGAATTTCTTTTACTTTATCTTCTTATTGGGGGGAGAGGGGAGAAGAGGAGGCTATTATATTTGAAAGTAAAACATATGGCTCTGTCATTTTAAAAAGTCTGTTTAGATAAGATTGTGGAGAAGTCCACCTCTTCTGCCTTATAGACAGCATTTGTGCCATGAGCAGTGGTAGATAGCAAGCACAACCCGTTTTCCTCAGTGTGCAGTCTCTGCTAACAAAAATGCGTAGCTGTGATGCTAATGATTGAGAACTGTGCTACGCTTCAGGCTGGTTTTGTTTTAGATAACCACTGAAGCTGTTGAGGATTTGGGGACTGCTCAGACAACAGTGACTTGGTGTCTCTCCCCCCTGTCTCCACTAACCTGGGTGGCGAGGGCCACTGCATCCAGAGAGCGAGCCAGGAGTGTGGAGGTACTGGCTCGTCTTTTGTAAAGACTTCATAGCTTTTACCAAGAGCCCGGGGGTGATGGCAAGTAGTGCACTTCACCCTCCAGCTGACTGGGGAGTTTGTTGTATGGGTTTCTTCAGTCCTGAGAAATGAAAGGAGAGACCCGTCTTGCAAGTAATGCCAAAGGCTAACAGTTTGTGTTAGCCCCCCCCATCTCAGCTGCTAACCTCAACCCAAATCCCAAATCGGCCTGTGCTGCTGTGATGGCCGCTTGCTGATGGTGACTGGGTTGTGTCTTCTGCGAGATACTCGGAATAGTCTCTCCAAATCTTCTTTTTTCTCCTTTACCCTCACTTAAACGCAAGATACCCTTCCAAAAGGGCAAAGATGTTTGAAAGGGGAACAGAAGAGCAGTCCTGTTTTGTTCTTTGTTTCAGCCTACTCTCTTTTTGTTAAACTTTGTGAATATTTTCACACTTTCGGTATATACGTTTTGTTTTTTTTTTTTTTCCAAACTGACAAGTTTGGGGCTCACCTAAGTCAAGTCTTGGCCCCACTGAAATCAATACCAAGATTCCCACCTTCCACAGGTCGGTTCTAGACACTGGCACCCTCCTTGTGAGTCTTCCACCCGAGAAGACCAATTTCTGCTTTCCTGTCCTCAGAAGGAGCTTGGCATAAGAACGCACTTGGAAAATGTGCCAGATATTCAGCTTGTTGGTCACCCCATCCCAGGGCAGTCTGAAGAGAATGCGTGACCCATAAATAACAGGCACAATATGAAGGAATACATACTATAAATACATACTGTAAATAATAGCTGGGGGTGTTGTGCATTTTTCAAGGCTGTAATATACTTGCAGGTTTTGGATGTTTTGTAACCTGTACTAGCAAGTCCCTCAGTGATGGCCTAGGTCCCTTATATACTTTGTACATAACAGGACATGTTTTCCTGCTCCCCTAAATCAAGTGCTTCTCAGTAGTAGCTTGAATTGGTTGCGTTTTGCCTGCCTTGTTTTTGTAGCAGTGTTTACAAGAGGGGGGGTGTGTGTGTGTGTTACCGAGTTCTGCCAGAGAAGCTTTTGGGAAAACTTTCTTAGGGCAGCCAAGAGTAGCGCAACCTCTGTTTGAATAATTGTTTGTGTGTTTTGGTTTTGTTGTGTTTTGTTTTTCTAGATTGACTGCCAACACAAAGAACCAAGGGAAATAATTCCGAGTAAAATTTCAATTTTCTTTCTTTTTTTTTTTTTTTTTTTCTCCCTCTCCTTGACAAATGAAAAAATAGAAGTTTTTCATTTCACCAAACCCCAGAAGTGTTTCATTTCAGTCATTAAGAAAATCAAGGGAAATGAAGGGTTTGACTTCAAAGAAAGTGCCTGGGGGCAGTTCCCATTTAGCGGCTCAGGGACTGGAGCCCTCATTCAGGATGGAGGGGACCCCACTCCAGCTCCTTCCTCTGCTGGAGAGGATTTAAACACACTTGTCTTGCTTCCCAGGAAGATTTGCTAGGAACAGGCTATTCTGGGGCGAGCATAGGATTAGGTGAGAAATGTGTTGGAGGAGACACGGGCTAGATGTAAAAATAAAAGTAAGCAATGCTGAAAAAACTTATGTTTTGCTTTCAAGCTGCAATTTGGAAAATGAAACTGGAAGCCTTGCTTGTTTGTAATGTTTGTGAACACTGTTTAAAGCAAAAATATCTATAACAATTTTGGATTATTTTTGTCACAGTGGAAATTTATGTATCTCTGTATTTTAGAAGTCCAGTTTTATTAGCACGTATTTTAAGATGTAATCCCTTTACGTGCACGGCATAAACTGTTGAGGACTGTGCAAATGGCCTGTTCATTAGGACACACGTAAATGCTTAGAAGCACCACTAAATTGGTGTATTCTTACTTGCTGTAGCTCTTGTCTCTGCCTCCAAATTACCCTCTTTTCAGAAAATGAATAAACGTAGGCCGTTACGGAAAAGAAACATTTCACCATTTTCAGAGATGACTTCTCAGCCTGCAGGCTGGGACCGGAGTGCCTCCTTGCAGGACTGTCTTGGCGGGTTTTGGCGACTCGCACCGGTCGGGACGGTGTCGGGACACCGAGCTGCTTGTGCTCGGAGCCTCCCGCTGAAGCCTGCACCCCCCCACGTCGGGTTCCCCCGGGTGGGGTTCGGTGGGATGTGGTCGGTACTGCGCGTGTAGGAACGCCCGTCTAAACTGCTGCCACCTTTGTGCTCTGCCTGCAGGTCGTTAGATGGCCGGCTGCAAGTATCTCACCGGAAAGGTCTTCCCCATGTGATTTACTGCCGGCTGTGGCGGTGGCCAGACCTTCATAGCCACCATGAGCTGCGTGCCATGGAGATGTGCGAGTATGCCTTTAACATGAAGAAGGACGAAGTCTGCGTGAATCCTTACCATTACCAAAGAGTGGAAACCCCAGGTACTGCCGGCCCCGGGTGCTGATACCTCAGCCTCTCGGTACCGGCAAAAGGGGTTTATAAGTGCATTTCAAAACTGAATAAAGCAGCAGGCGTAGGGTTTTAAAGCCAAAGTGTATCTATTATTGATGGTAATCTCTTACTGTACACAGTAGAATAATTTATGAATCTGCACTCTGGGGGGGAAATATCATTTTAAATCGATAAAATCCAAGTCGAGCAGGTTGCGTTGTTGCCAGATTCCTAATGTGGTATTGCGTGCACGTAAACAGCTCACACATGTAGGAGATACAAGTATGAACTATGGCAGCGTTCTACACATCCCTAACTGTTGGTATTAAACTAAGGATAAACTTACTGTTAAGTTGAAGTGGATCTAAGAATAGCTCCCAGCACAACTGAACTTCCTGTTCTGAAGTCTCCTCCTGTCTCTGAAAGAGACTTTCATCTGGAACTGCAGATAGTTCTGCTGCGTGTCAGTACAAATCTGCAGAACCAGTCTGGATGTTTATGCTAATCCTACCTTGCTGTTTCGTTTTACGTGAAATTTATTCCTTTTGAATTATGTGGTATAACTTCTCTGAAATTGTTTTTTGAGACGACCTGTTTTCTTTGCCTTGGAAGGGGCAGTCAGACTAGGTGTGTTCAGATAAGCACGTATCCCATCCCCAGCTGAGATATGTTAAGAATAGCATCTTTAACTGCTGCTGTTATTTCAGAAGCAAGTATCAAATTGTGTCCCTTAATTAGCAACTTTGGTGTTGCATGTATTTAAGGGTGTTACTCCAAACTGGTTCCTCTTCATTTTCTAGGCTTTCAGTCATTTTATTTTAAAGCTGTTAACGTTGCTGTTCTATTTTTTTTTTCTTTTTTTTTTTTTTTTTTTCTCCCCTTTTCCATTTGTGCAGTGTTACCTCCAGTGCTGGTGCCTCGGCACACAGAGATCCCAGCTGAGTTCCCGCCGTTAGACGATTATAGTCATTCTATTCCAGAGAACACTAACTTCCCAGCAGGTATCGAGCCGCAGAGCAACTACATTCCAGGTACTGTATATCTTCCATACAGCCAGTGGAGGGAAGAGGGTCATATTGCACAGTGAATCGTGTCTACGTATGCCAAGCTGGATGACTGAAAAGTCTTTCTTTCCATCATTACAGTGAAGTTAAGGAGTGGGAACCTATACAAAAATAGATAAAAGCTGTAAATGTAGACACACAACAGTGCTGTTTATAGTTTTGTTTTGTTTTCTTTAAGCTCACCTCTTCCCTTCAGTAGTACATAGTCAGTTTATTGTGGAATCTAAAGCTGAATGTTCCCTTAACTAGTTTAGATTTGAATGAAATCCAGCCATTTTAATGTGAGTAAAACTCTCTAAATTTCTGATGGAATTGAGCTCTTCTATTTATGTGTGTCTTTTACAAGCAATTTACACCTTATTTGCATGGGCAAGCTCTGCAGCTGCACACCAGGAAAGGGAAAATATGTGGACAGAAAACTGTCTACATGGCTTAAAGTTTTATAGCACTGAAAATCCAGATTTTTTTGTTTCCCTCTCCTCTGTTATTCACAAATATGATGCCTGTGCCAGCTCCTCCTCTCAGCAGCTTGGGAAGAAAAGTAATAAAAAAGAAATTTAGCTCCTTGTGAATAACAAAGTAAATATTTTTGGTGTCTAAAATCCAGACTTTGCATCCAGTTGCAATGACAGTATGATCATTTTATGCTTGTAGAGACACCTCCTCCGGGCTATTTGAGTGAGGATGGAGAAACTAGTGACCACCAGATGAACCCCAGCATGGATGCAGGTAGGTCATCTTTTGCCATTCGCTGCAGCTTTCTAGGTCATATCAGTGACGCTTTTATAGTTTTTCTTTGGGGCACAGAAGATCAGATGGTGGGATTTTTGAGGTATTTTATCTCTGTAGGAGTGCAAATGTAGCCTGACATCTCATGGAAAGCACAGGGCTGTGTGTTTTAGAGCTGCTGCTGAAAGGTACAGCACATTCCTGTTCTCCCCAACATCCATCATTAGATACCACTAAGCAGGAGCCTGAAACAGCGGAGTCACATGTCAGGGTGATAGTTTGTGTTGTATTTGCATCCATGCATCTGTAAGCACGTGAAAATTTTGCACATAGCTGTCACTTTTCTTCAGAGGCATTTTTCTGATCGCTTGGTTGTTTACACATTTAAATGTCCAGTTTAACTATATTTGAAACAACCAGTAAGAGATTTGTTTTTAAATGGGTTTATCATTTAGTGAATATATCCCAAAGAAAGTCAAACGTCTGGATTCTCTCTCATTGCCAAGAAAACAAGAAACCAGGTTTAGAATGAGCAGCCTTAGCATTCATGCTAACCTGTATCAGCACTTTAAAATTAAACGTGCAGGTCTCATCTTTCTGGGAGTAACTGTCTAAGGCATCTTGTTGGTCTCAGTGGTGTCACTGCTTGTACGAACCACTGAATCAGACTCTGAATTCATAAAACTTTTGCTTGAAGAGCAAAAACGCATCCTTGGTTAGAAGGGCTGGCGCTTTACAAGAAAGATATGCGAATACATGGCACTTGCATAACGATAGACATGCAGAACCTAATTAATGCAAATCCTGCACACAGATATCTTGGGTTCTGTGCATGCACGTGGCATCCAGAGACTGTCCAAATTGCTCTGGACATCCAAGTGCAGATATTTGAAATACAGACACAGAATTTGTGGACCAAATTGAAGTGATTTGGGATAAAATTCTGATGGTTGTTTGATCAGACCTGTATAGCTTGATCCATCACTCCATTGTCCCCAAACCAGTAATAGTTATTGATATAAAGTGGTATGTTTTAGGCTGTTACGAGCATGATTTGTGCCTAGCAATGTAAAATCAAGCTCTTAAGTGCCCAGCTAACTGGGTTTGACTGTAGCTGTCATGGTAGTACCTGGAGTTTTGATAACTGCAAGTGAAAGAAGGACAGATAACTGCATGCTCAGTTTTTCAAAATCAGTGGGTTAAGCGTAAGTGAATGCATTATGAAGATGCTTAGCAGTATTGCAGATGTAGCAACTTGATAGAAGTAATCATATTTAGAAGCTCATGTAAAGAATAATCAACATCAGAGAAGCTGCTGGTGTCACAAAATGAGACTTAAGTGAGAAGTGGGTTATCCCTCCAACAAGCCTGGGCAGCACTGAAGATTTTGTGCAAGTGGTTTTCCTTGTGCAGATGCCATACTAATAATTATAATGTCTTGTTTTTCAGGTTCTCCAAACTTATCACCGAACCCCATGTCTCCAGCACACAATAATCTGGGTAAGCATGTGATCTTGGGAACTGTGTGTGATTGTAGTCAAGATAGTGACATTTTAATGATGATGTTATTTCTTCAGGTCGTGCGCTTTTGATGAGCTTGTGAGCGCTGTTGTTGTTGCTTTCCACTCATCCTCTTCAGGGTGATAACAGTGGTTCGTAGTAACTCTACATGAAATAAAGAAATCTGAATTTACATCGGAGAGTTAAATAAAAAAGTGAGAAATGTTGGAAGTCAAATACCAGGAAGAGTGAGTGAAGGATTGCAGCAAAAAATACACTTGAGGGATTACATGAGTTTGCAAGGAATATGTCCGTCTGTTTTGCTGGTGGTTTTGTGTTCTTACATTTTTAAAGGACGCAGATTGAGGTTAAATTTTGTCTCCTGGAAAGCTACTTCTAAAATCTGTAGCACTTCCTGGTCTCTCCTACGGTGTACCAGAGCGCCTTGCAATTTTTAGGTTTTTATTAACCTGGTGTTACATTCATTATCGGGCAGGTGCCCCAGTCCACATACTGCGGACAGGGGGCTGAGGTTCAGAGCAACAGATCTGCCTGCGCCGCTTCGTCAGCAACCCGAGGGGCATCCCTAGACTGCACAGGGGGAAAGCAGCCCTGAGCCCTCATGGCCCAGTGCCCTAAACCACTGGAGCAACCGACGGCCCAGGTGTGTCAGTTGTTGTAGCATGAAACTGAGCAAAGTGGAGGAGGCTCGCTCGAACGGAGCGCAGTCCAGACCTAATAGGCCACTGCTTCACTCCCTAACCTGCAGACTGTAAATATGAGGAAAGCTGAATAAGAAGAAATAGCAGTTGAACAGGGCCCTTTACCTTTCAGATACTATTAGAGGTTTTGCAGCTATCTCTGAACCTCTGTCGTCTTCTCGGATGGCTCTGCCCTTTATTTTCATACCTACAGACATAAAAGGTCTGATCTTCATCAGTGTGAGCTCTTACCCTATTTGAAATTGCTCTCAACGGTCTGTCATAAAAAGCACTCGTAGCTCTGGCTAGCTGCAGGATCAGTTCTCTAAATGTTCATTAAGCCAGCAGACAGAGGCCACTTGAGATTACTCCTGAATAACCATAGCCATAAAGTTTACATATGCTTTTAATCCTGGCACAGAATACTTTGACACTGCTCCAATATTTGTCAGTCATTGGCTGACTTGTGGATATCTTGGGGCTGGTGAAAAGGGGTTTTCTTTTCTCTTCTTTTTTTTTTCCCTTTTTTTTTTTTAAAAAAAAAAAAAAAAGCATGGCATATATTGCCACGGTGCCACTGAATTTTTATTTGCTTTAACTGTTAAAGCCAAAGAGAATACATGGCTGACTTATTGTATTTCCTTTTTTACTTTATTAGTTTGAATCCATTATGCTCCATTGTGCTGCCTAGGAGTTTATGAGATTTCTAGCAATTTTTTCAACCTAAAAATAAAAGGACAATTTACATGTAAAAAAACCAACCTGGCAAGTTGACTGTGGCATCTGCCTTACATAAGGAAAAAAAGGAGTTTCTAGGAAAGAGGCCTCAACTCATATCCTTTCTAACAAGGACACTGGTTATTAGCACATGCTGCTCAGGTGATGGGCCTGTCAGATATCTGATGTGCTGTCTGGTGACAAAAACTGAGTAGGAGCAGGTGAAGCTGCTTAACCATAAGGAGTCTCTTTGTAGTCTGAGAAGCATCAGAAAATCATTTAACTTACCAACATTAAAAGACAACTAAGTTTTACAAACCAAGTATTTATTGCTCTTGGACAAGATGAATGAAGAACTTCTCGTCTCTTTTAAAAATGTTATTGCCAATTTTTGCATGTGAGTAAGCTACAAGATAATAAATGAAATGGCACGTAGCTGAACAACTCGTAACAACTGTGAAATGACAAAATTATCATTTGTACCTTGTAGGTAAGGAAGGAAGGATATCTAAGTAAGGAGCTGCGTCGAGCAGTGTAGGTGAAAACACCAGCAGCCCCTCAAACCTTCGGCCCCACAGTCTCTGCAGCCCAGAAGAGGGTTGCGTGGGCTGTGTGAGAGCAGAACTTTCTCTCAGCTTTGCAGGTCCTCTCTCCAGTCAGAAGCTAGTCGGTGGCTGGTGGCCTGCAGTGCTCCTGCTTTTGCTGTGCTATATAGTTCTGTGGATAAGCAGAGCACTCCAGTGCTAGGGCTGTACTTTGATCTGCAGAAGTAGAACCAGGTTTTCTCTGTGTGTTTTAAAAAAAAAAAATGGAATAGAAAGTTAAAAAACACAACAGTGTGCAGTGAGGAGAATTATCAGCAAGCTCTCAGCAGCAGAGTGAGAGGGGTTTGTGGAGTTTTGCCATTAAGAAAATAATGTCACAGTATTGATGTCTGTCTATTTGACCAGAACTAACCTGGAGCTTTTAAGACAGTTTATTTTGTGTGAGTTAAACTTTGGACTTAAATCCCATGGCCATATTCCAGAGGATTACAAAGGCAATAAACTAGCATGAGGCAAACCAGCTAGGACAATAGAAGCAAGGTTTGTTTGAGGTGCAATGTATGTTTCTCGGCATAAAGCTGTAAGACAATTAATATGGGGTTGAAGGAACTTAGGGAGTTTCATCTTTCCACTCACAGGCACAAAAGTGTTGCAAGGTAACAGACTGGGATTTTTTTTTTTTTTTTTTTTTCCCTCTTTTCAGCTTGGGCATTTGATTTGGTAGCATTCTCGTTTTGGTCCAGGCTTTCAGTTGTCAAGTTTTCAGTTGTCAAGCATAAGCTTTAAATGGAAGTTAGATGTCCAGTGATCCCCTCTGTATTACTGAAGTATAAACTAGAGAAAATACAGAAAACAACCAAAATGAAAGGCGAGTTGCCAGCATTATGTGGCCATTCGGAATGAAGTCAGGGAGTTTACACTGGCCGAGGGCCAATCCTGAGGTTGCACACGTATTGTTATTTTGGAGTGAGGCAGTCCCTTGGTGTACAGGAAATCCATTGTCAGTGTTTGCTCCGCAAAAGACTTGACGCAAAAGCTGTAAGTGGAATAAGCACATACCCTCTGGTCAAACCCATCGGTGACATGAGCCTCTGTGTGTTGAAACACTATTTCCCAAAGCAGTGAAGAGACAGCCCTTCTCAAAGTGCAGGGGGAAGGGAGGGTGCACTCCTCTCTCTGTTTCTGGAGGGAGTTAGAATGAATGTGGCTGCAGCTAATGCAGTTGGATAGCATTTATCAGTCACTTTGATGCACACTGTGTAACGAGTGTCTTGACTGAAACTAGGATAACAGCCCCACTTAGGCTTAGAGCACATGCTGTAGGGAGTGCAAAACAGCCAGCAGATTTTTTTTTATCTTCTCAGCTCTACAGGTAGTACTTTCATCTTGTAGGGAAGATGCAAAATGGGTAACATCCCAAAACTCAGCGGACACTTGTGAAAGCAAAGCTGTAGTGAGTCAAGGTTGAAATCATATGGAGACAATTCAGGCAGGATTTTCTTGGTTTTAGAGCATCATGTTTTAGTTGACTGTGTACAGTCTCAGGATTCTTTGGCTTTAGCAGAGCTATATTCTTACTTCTCCCCAAATAGTATATCCATAAATTGAAAATGAATGTTCAGGACAGCTCTAACACGAGGGGAAACCTGCCCATCCCATGACGGCTTAAGCTGAAGCCTAAGACCACAAATCACAGGAGAAAGCAGCATCATTAAAAGCTTGGTTGCATTTTTTAGAGACAAGTTTTTCTTCAAAATAGGATTTGTTGGTTTGTGTCTTTCCTCAAGTTGCAAATAAGCTGGAAATAAAATTTCCATACGTCCTTCAGTGGGGAATCCACAGTTCCCTTGAGTCCCAACCAAGCGGAGGTGGTTTCTGAAGGAGAGGACCACAAAACCATAGAGAGCAGTGCAGGCTTCGGTGTTTTTATAACTGGAACAGTACTAATCTGAGGACATTGCTTAAGGATCAACAAAAATTGATTTGATTTTTCTCGAGCTGAGCAGCCGTTCAATTAGAAAGGCACTTGCTGCGGAATAAGAGCACAGTCATGTGGAACACAATCTGTTTTCTTAAGTGGGTGGACACACCTTAAGAGACTGATTAGTGCTGGTATTTGCTGTTCCTCGTACAAACTGCAGTGGAATCACGTGAAGCCCAGAGCCAGTTAGGATGTGTGCAGATCACTGCTGGGGGCCACAACCGCTGACTGCTGAAAGGAGGTTGGTCTTGGAGAAATAGGCCTGATGTGGCAGTTACCAGTGGGACAACCAGCCATGCCATACGAGAGAAAAAGGCAGGGCCAGTAAACCTGCGTAACTCCTGAATGTGTTCAGGATCACCTGTGCAGGTCAGGAGAGGGGCCTGCTTTAAGCTAAAAAATGGTTTAAAACCTGAAGGAACAGCAGGTGTGCTTACCAGATCGCTTAAATCGAAGTAGCGGCCCCTGTTCTCTTGAGCTGCCTTCTGTTAGCTTTGGCTTTGAGCATTATGTCCTTTCCCGTAACAGGAAGATACACGTTTTCTTTTGTGGGTGTAATGTGTGGAGGAGAGCAGGAACACCAAGCTTCGCTTGTGATAGATCACTTTTCTTTCAGATGATATAATTAAGGAAAGAGACTGTGCAAGAAGCTGGGAATGGGCATAAGCTCCAAAATTCAAGGACTTTGAAGATTGCTCAGGATGACAGAGTTCCCCAGATGCACTTCAATTCCTTATTTGTTGTCCGCAAAGCTTGTAACAGAGCAGAAACCAAGGGGTTTTTCTGATTATTAGCTACTTGGGGAAGTCATGCGCCACAGTAATGGAGAGGAAACCAGCAAGTCTTTTGGCCGAAGCCAGGCTGCTTCAACCTGTTCCCAAGGTTATGGAGTAACAGCAGGTACCAAATGAGAAATTGCTCTCAGACCTCTCTCGAGACACTCTCTTCAGCGTGCGAGGAGGCTGGGATGGTAAAAACCTGTCTTTGATTTTTTTGGAGCTGATCTCTTAAGCCCCAGATTTGCCTAAGCCTTGCAGGAGCAACAGATGGGAAAGCCTATGGAAAAAGTTGGGTTTTGCTGCTTCACGTTAACTCTTTGGCCAGATGGGAAGCTGTTCTGCTTTTAAGCACCGTTTGAACGGGGAGAAGTGATAAATTGGGGGGAGGACTGCAGGGAGTTCTTCCCTTGCTTTTATTTCTTGCCTTGAATGTGGGGAATAGAGCACTTATCAATTAGCTTAGTCTGCTTTCCACTTCCTCTGCTCAGCAGATTCTTGGCTTGCAGCAGGACTGGGCACCGTCCAGTGCAGTATTTCCAAGAATATTAGACTTGAGCCTTCCTCTGCTGAAATCTCGCTGGCTTCAGTGGGAGCAGTTAAGTCATTTGATGCCATCTGAATGTCCCACCTTTCTTGCATATTGTCTTCTGGAGACTGCCTCAGCCTCAGTCCACTCGTGAGCTTTGGTCTTTTTCTTCGGTCCACAGGCTGAGTCAAACCTTAACCCCAATAAAAGAGATGTGCCATCACCTATTGGGGAAATGGATTTTCTTTTGTTAATTTGAGATCAAGTGCACTGGCAGAAAGTATCCAATTTTTAAATCACATTGATGCCAGAATTAGGTACGATTTGGTGCACATTGCAGACAACTACTGGTTTCATCAGTGCTAGAGAGATCGTAACAGAGTCAGTACAAAGGAAAGCTGGATTTGCTGGCTGCTTGGTGTGAGTGCACAGCATTAGGGTTCTGGAGACCTGTGTTACTGAAAGCAGGTTTGTGGTCTGCTCTTTCAGAGGTTTTCTGTTTCTTCCTTTTCCCTCCTTTTCTCTTTTTAGGGTACTGGCTACCTAAAAGTGATCCCCACATTTCATAGTAAAGCTAAGTTTATTTTTTAAAATTTTCTCCAAGTATGAAGCTAGCTAATTAAGTGACACCCCACTTGCTAAGTGACTAATATCTTTGACTATTTGTGATTGTTCCATGTGCCAAAAGCTTCAGGGGTGACGTAACTTTCTAGCTGTGGTCCATTAAAATCTGTCAAGTAATTAAAGTTTGGTGGTTAAAGTGAGCCCAAGGAATGAAGCAGAACAATATTTCAAAATGGTTGCTTTTTTTTCATCCGCCCCCCTCCCCTCCTGAGGCCCTGTGATTCATTTGGCTTTTTGATTTTGTGCAGATCTGCAGCCTGTTACCTACTGCGAGCCAGCTTTCTGGTGCTCGATATCCTACTATGAACTCAACCAGCGAGTGGGAGAGACTTTCCACGCCTCGCAGCCCTCTATGACCGTGGATGGTTTCACTGACCCATCTAATTCGGAACGCTTCTGCCTTGGTTTACTGTCTAACGTGAACAGAAATGCAGCAGTGGAACTCACAAGACGACACATTGGTAATTTCTATTTCCTTGGTTTAGCCAGCGTCTTCCAAGGTGGAAGAGACCTGCATGTAGAGCTTTTTATTTAGCTAGTCAGCATGCAGCTTGGTCAGTTTTGGAACACTGCCGTGTTTGAATATCCGTGGTGTTTTAGCAGGCTCATCTTCCATAAAGGAACACTAATTGTATTGTTTGATTCAAGTATAATAAAGAAGTGCATTGAGGAACACTAAAATTGCTATATGTGTTATAGAGAGAATTTAAACTTTTACATGCGCTCTTCTGTATTTGGAAGGATGTTAGTGATAAACTTGTGTATTTCTTTTCCCTCCTGCACTGTTTTATTTTCTAACTGACTGTTCTTTTATAATGGAAACTTTATTCCTTGATTTTCATCTCAATTTCCACTTTTCCTGCTTATACTGCAAGATGACATTCGTTTTCAGTTAAACTTGCGCTAAGTAGGATATCCCAGATTTATGCCATTTTAATAAAAGGCAAAATTGCTTATGATCTGCCGTCTTTTCTGCTGACTTCTATCAAATATGAGCCTGCTTTTTATCCTGATTTTGCTCCCCTTTATACCCTTTCCTGAGCAGTAAACTTTAGACAGGAGGATCTTTCCTTACTTGTTTCTAATATGAGTTTTAGCACCACAGAAACCCCAACCCAGAAAACCCCACCAAGATTCAGAAAGCAGCCTTTAAATTCAGCAGCCTCCTTATGCTCTATGGAAGAATGAAAGCAAGTTATTCAGATAGGAATATAGGACCCCGGCAAACGTTTATTTGAGCAACAAAGATGTATTCCTGCAATTTGTTTCTTTATTAACTGAGATTTTAATAATTTGTGTAAACTCCTATGGGAACTGTATGTTTGTCCTTGTATGCAGTGTAATCTCAAGCAAAAGGCAATGGTTTGAAAACGTTGTATAATTTAATTCCAAATCACTAAGTAAATAAACCAACAGTTGTATCCAGCTGCAGTGACTTTCAGGAAAGGTTGGAAACCATATGTTAACTGATAGAACGTTCATATGGAAAATATCAGAGACGTGTATGTTTGGAGTGAGCAGGCTGGGAGGTGGTAAATTTATGCAGTCCCGGCTGTGATTGACAGTGGGGCCAGAGAGAGCAATTCTGACTTTATAAATTGTTCCTCCTGCCTTCCTCAGCTCAGCTCTCTCGCAGCACATTTACTGCTCCCTAATGGGAGTACCCAGTGGGCCAAAAGGGGTTTGGGTTTCCTTTTCCATCTTTCATAGTTTAGCTGCTTTTTGAGAGCTGTCTCATGCAGAGGTTGTCTACGTCTCTACCAGCTCTTCTTGCAGATTTTTTGCAGACGATTGGTCTAAGCTAAAGCAAAACTGTGCCATGTGTTTCCTAGGGAGAGGAGTGAGACTCTACTACATTGGCGGCGAGGTGTTTGCCGAGTGCCTTAGCGACAGTGCCATTTTTGTCCAGTCTCCCAACTGCAACCAACGCTACGGCTGGCACCCAGCAACGGTTTGCAAGATTCCACCAGGTAAGGAAGGGTGCCTTATCTGTGCTCCCGCGCAGGCTTCGCCTTCTGCAAACGGAGCCTTGCTGTGCAAAGCGAGCTCGCTGGCAAGGTAGGTGTGGATTTGCTGACCTCCATTCCTGACGACGCTCAGAGCCTTGAACCCTGTTGTATGCAACTTGACAAATTTGCCAGGGCATTATTTGTAGCGTATAGGATGAAGGTGCTGATAAAGGCAGCTACTGTGTATGCCCCCACCGTTGTTGGCACCACATTCACACAAGTAGGAGGAAACAGCACTTCAGGATCTAAGCAGAACTAAGAGCAGAATGTGCTACTCGTTCCATGCAGTGTTTCATCAGTCCATTATTGTATTGTAATTATCTGACATTCATGTTTATAATTGTGTTTGTACCTTCAAGTAAAAGAATACAACGTAATACATTTTTCTTAATTTAGATTCAAGATTCACCATAATAGATTTAAATTGTTACTTTTCTGTTCTGTAGTAAAACTTCCCCCCACCCCGCCCTTGCCCCCTTGTGAATGAATTTTATTCTAGGGAAATCGCATTTGCAGGCACCTTGTTCTGGTTACAGCAAACATATGTCTAAAGTATGCTGAAAGCTTACAAGAGAATTTATAGCATCTATCTAGGAAGAAAATACTTTTCTGTTAGATACATGCAAAAGAGCTAGTATGAAAGATGTCATTCAAAAGGGAATTTAGCTGCTTAGCTGGGCTTACAAAAGCCAATTTTTTTACAGTTAAAAGTATGTATATGTTTGAAAAACAACCTTTTTTGTTTAGAAATATTTGAATAAAGATTGACTTTCTTTTGGGAAGAGATTCCATACACTGCAAGCTCTGGCCCATCTTAACGAGTTTCCTTTCTCAGATGCTTAGGAAGCAGCTGCCAGTGTTGCAAACATGACTTAATTCTCCAGCCACATCACAAGAGTCCACCCCAGCTCAAGTCAACATCTGAAGACATAAACAACCCACATTTCCGCTGTAGATTCATCTAAGGAGCATTTTTTGGACTCCAGCTCTCCCCACTCCTGCCACGATCTTTGGCCGCCTTCTCAGCCTCATCTTCAAATCTTTGCTGGGTTTGAAGCAGTTTCTTCCTTCCCACGTTGACAAGATGAAGCCGTACCCGCTTCTCCCAGGCACAGTCGTGGAGAGACCCGTTCCCATCCAGTCCTGAAGCCTGAACAGCTTGGCAGGCTGATCCTGACCAAGTTTTTCGCTTCCCTTGCCACAGCTCTTCCTCTGTGCTCGGCCTGGCCCTGATGCTCTCACCCTTCTTATTTTCCCGCCTTAGACTGCAAGATGCCTGACACAGCTTCCCGTCAAACTCTCTGCGAGATACACGGCTACTTGTGCTCTTTGGGGGTGACAAAAATGGGTACTTGTTTCTGCAGCTGCTGAGCTGCTGCATGCGGTTACGCTTTACTTCATGTGCTTTGACCCAAAACAGGTGACAGTATGAGTCCAGCCCAAGAGAGTAAGCTCCGAAGTGATTTTAGAAAAAACACAATTCCTCACAGTCCAAATGGTTGTTTTTCAGACTTGGCCCATATGTAATTCCAAATGAGCATCAGCTGCGTGCCAGGTTTCAGAGTTTGACTTCTTTCTGGTGATCCGGGAGAAAGCAAGCATGGCAACGCTTTCTTTAAGAGTTGTGTGTGTATTTATTTATTTATTTGACCGGTGAGGAATGTTGTTTTAGTTCACCTTTATCACCTAAAAACAGTTGACTAAGTTCTTGGTCTTTTAGCTGGGACAGAACATTGGGGGAAAACTCCAGTTTTAAAGGAAAATTCTTTGGTGCATGGTAGTTACGTTTACGAGACGGTTATAGCAGAAGCAGCTCTACTACCAGCCTTTCTAACCCTGATAAGTGGTTTCTGGCTTTCCAGAGCAGTTTCTCTTCAGAACTTCTCCGTTACTTCTGCTGACGGGCACCATGTAAATCCAACAGCAGTGAGTTCCTAATTTCAGCCCGTGCATTCCTTCCTTTCGGGCCCCTTAGCTGTTACCGTTGTTAAGGGTTATGGTCATAGGCTTTTAAATTACAATATGAGAGAAATGACTGCAAGGGAGATAGAGGGAGGTTCCACATGAGGATCCCGAGTCTGGTCTCGTAGATCACAATCTGCTGTGTGGGCACTAACATTCATTGTTCTCTGTCCTGTAACATGGTTTTCTTCCTTTTCAGCATATGAGCTGTGAAAATGTGGCAACCTTGATTCCTTTTTCCGAAATGCTGTGTTTAAACAATCTGTGTAGAGTATCACATGGTCTGAGGATATGGGAAAGCAGCACTGAGTTTCTTTCCAGCCTCAGAAAGAAATGGTTTTCTTAATCTAGCTAAGCTAATGCCTTGTTCTTGTCGTGTTCTTTTTTCGCAGGATGTAACTTGAAGATTTTTAACAACCAGGAGTTCGCCGCCCTCTTGGCTCAGTCCGTAAATCAGGGCTTCGAAGCTGTGTACCAGCTGACCAGAATGTGCACAATTCGGATGAGCTTTGTCAAGGGCTGGGGAGCAGAATACAGGTCAGGCCTTTTGAATGAAACTTTGCAGTACGCTTGTGCTTGCCATTGCCACTCCTGTAGCTTGCGGCCTAGGAGAATGTTCTGCAAAGCTCCTTTACTCAGCTTTGAAGAATTAGCACAGTCTCTCTTCAGTAATGTAGGTAGGTTGTAGTTCTTGAGATCTGTTGATCTCATCTCTTGTTTTCCCCATCCTCTTTGTATAAAACGTACGTCGTGTGATGCAACTGGAAGACCACGGTGTTTGGTCACTGTGTTGTACAAACCTGAAGGAGAGTTGAGAAATCCAGATGGCCTGTGTAGGAACTATTACTTTTTTTTTTTCCCCCCTTAAAATTAGATGTATGTTTGATAGTTTGAGTGTCTTACGACTACACTGTTATCAGGACAGAATCAGTCTGAGTGCTTCCTAATCGATAAGGTCTGATCCTTCTTTTATCAGGGACTAATGGGATTAAAGTAAAAGCAGATTGTCTTGAAAATTTGTATTTGGAAGAACTGTTGGAGTTGCTGCAAAACTATAGTTAAATCTCCTCATCCTTTCCTTAGTGCTTGTCACAGGGCAATTGCTTAAATGTGACTGGAGGCAGGGGGAGAGAGAGGTCTATTATTTTTCCCAGTGAACGTTGAAGATAAAAAGGGAGATGCAGTAGGGTCTGATGCTTGGAATTGATGATGTGGTTATTCTGACAGCGTGGAGACAGCGTGAGGGGCAGAGTACTCCACAGCTCGTGTTGCTGTTGCTCCACTGCGTTAGCGAGCGAACGTCCCTCAGTAGCAAAGGGAGTGAAATCAGCGTTTAACGGTACAAGTAGGGGAGACGAAATCCGCTGGAAAATGAATGTCGTTTTATGAGAGAGAAAGCTGGCAAGGACTTAAGCCAAATGTGATTTTGAAGTACTTGACTGTGCACCCTTTAGATCCGCGGCCTCATTTGAAAATGGGGGGGCAGGCCCTGCCCGCGGCGCAGCGGGGCCGCCGGCCGACGCTCCCCTCGCACGGCTGCCCGCGGCAGGCGGGGGAGATGCCGCAGTGTCAGCTGGAGCCTGGGCCCTGCACGTTACTCTCCCACTTTCTTCATTTCTCCAGATGTTTGGAGTCCATTTTGTTTTGAAATTGTCCTGCACCCGGGCCAGAGCATTTCAGCCCTGGCTCGCAGCCACGGCTCGTAATGAAATCCAGATGAGCATGACTTACGGAAAGTCAGCTATCTCATTAGAGCATTGTAGTCAGTGAAACCCTACGCTCACGCTGACCGCGCCGAAGCCGCTCTCTTGCTCCTTCATTTCCTTGCCACAAAATACTACATCTGATTGCCTTTGTCAGAGCACGTTTATTTGTTGAACTGATTCATCTATGAAACCGTTACTGTGCGAGCTGCATCCAGAGCGCTGTTCCAGTGATTTCTGGTTCAGCTGCTTAGCCTTTTGAGCAGACTCATTGGTGGGGTGTTTAGTGCTTTTGTGTGCCGGGGATTTGGTGGAGGGAAGCGGGGGAGAAGCCAATTGCATAATCAGCCCGTGATACAGAGGTTCTCTGTCCAGCGAGAGCCCCGTGGAGCAAGCTGAAGGCACGGAGAGCTTTGAGGGTTTGCCTTTCTGAAAGGCTGGAGCCAGTGTGTTGGTCATCTAGGTAGAGTGAAGTTTGCCGTGGTAGATTTGCAGAGGGCAGAAGCTCGGCAGCCCCACGGGTAGCAGGTTTCCATACAGTGTTGCCTGGAGAGTCGTCGGACTGCTCAGTGTCAGGCTGATTTCAGGCAGCAGAGGGGAATGCCCTGTGCGAAGTTAAGGGAGACTCGTTTTTCCCTGGGACCTGAGGGGTTTGTGTGCTTCACTGAAGCTGAGAGCGCGAGAGGTGCTCTGCTCCTAGCCCTCGTCCCGCAGTCCTCCTGCCCAAACAGCTCACGAGCCGCGATTCCACGCAAACCACTCAGCATTAAGTCGCTGTACAGGACAAGCCCTGCCCACACGCCCACTCCTGGGGCATCGCCTGGCCTGGCAGCTCCGGGGAGCCCCGCCTGAGCTGGGAATGGGTGGGGTGCCGGCAGGGACCGGCTTCCATTTTCAGTTCAAAGGATGAGGGACGCGGGTTCATCATCAGAAGGGGTTGCAGCCCTTGGGCAAAGCCTTGCCGAGCCGTACCCGGAGCCCCGCTCCTCTCCCCGCGCCGCCGGAGGGCAGGGCTGGCGGTGGGAGCACAGGGGCGGCCCCGCGGAGCAGAGGGTCCCTTTGGCAGCAGCCGTTTCTCCCTGGGCCCCACGGGCTTCGGCTTCTCCCTCCCACAAGCAGATTCCAAGGACAGCTTCTGTGGGAAATGAGGGTGTAAAACAAGGCTGTTTCCAGGCTGTTTCTGCCTCTTCGGAATCTTCCTCCTCCGCAGCAGCTGTCCCTGCCTCTCTGCCTGGAACAGGACTCAGGCCATCCCTTGGCAGAGGAGGGAGAGCCCCTTGGCCTGTGCCCTGGCCTCCCTTCCCTTCCTTTCCTCCCCATCTCTTCTTGCTTTTACCAGCTGGAGACACTCCGTGGGGTCTGGCCTCAGGGAGAAAAACAGAGAGGAGAGGGGGAAAGCGCTTTGTGGCAGGGGAGAGTCAAAGCGTGGTGACCCAGCAAGGTACCCCCTCTCCTCTGGCCACAGCCACCACGTCTCGAGGGGTTTTGAAACACACGGTTCAATACCACGTTTCTGCTTTTCTGATAGCTTTGGCGACTTTTTAAACCCTGCTGCTTCTTTTGGGGCAGCGATCGAACGCAAATCCCTTGGAGTGCCCCAGCACGTGTAGTGTGGGGCTCAAACCTCCAGCGCTTCCTCCCGAGGTGGGAAAAAAAAAAAAAAAAAAAATCTCAGCGGCGTGTCGGGCCGCAGGAGGGAGAGGGCTCCACAGGAGGGGCTCTGAAGGGCCCAGTGGTGATCTCTCGCCATCACTTCCACATTCAGGTAAAAGATACAGGAAAAAAAAGGGCATCCTTGGCTTGCACGTAGAGAAATTTCATGTGTTTGGTAAACTGCTTGCCTTGCTATCTTAATTAGGAGAGGCAAGGTCTGCAAAATAAAACTGTAGGCTTTTGCTTAGACAAACACCTTCATTTCTCTTCAGGGAATCAGACGCTGCCTGTTTTCAGGAATCCGAGTAGTAAATAGGTTATATAGTGAGTTGCTCCTTTGGGATCTTGAGAAATGTAAAGAGAAAAGGTAGGGGTTTTAAAAGAAGTTGGCAGCATAGGCCAGAAGCGTGTTATAGTGGAGAGAGACATTCCTTTGGCCCCACATGCAGGACTATTGTCTAAGCAGGAAAGAATGCTTCAGTAGCTGTAAAACCTTTTCACATTTGTGAAGTTTTGTAAGTCACATTTATGTTCTTTTTTTTTTTTTTTTTTTTTTCCTTCTGTCCCCCCCAACCCCTTCTTTCTTGTAGGCGGCAGACTGTGACCAGTACTCCCTGCTGGATTGAACTGCATCTTAATGGTCCCTTGCAGTGGCTAGACAAGGTCCTTACACAAATGGGCTCCCCCAGTATTCGTTGTTCCAGTGTCTCCTAAGGAAACATCTCCTGGGGGTGGGTGGGAGGAACAAAGACTCTGGAAAATGGAATTGGCTTAACCCTTAGCAAAATGCATAGTGCATAGTAAACAAATTCCCAGTCACTGAAGTGATGAGAAAAAAAAATCTGCGGAAAAAAAAAAAAAAAAGGTGGTTTTTTTCTTTGTTTTCTTTTTTTTTTTTTTTTTTTAAACTAAAACCCCATTTAAGCCACTTCCACTGAAACCGTTAGCACTTTGGTTACAGTGCTATGGGCCATTGGAGTTAGAATTTGCAACCGAAGTTTATGATGATAAAAAACTGGACTTTGCTTCAGCGGAGGGAAGCCAGTGCTCTGGCTCCAGCCGTGCCCTGCCTGGCGGGCCCCGTGCTGCTGTGAGCACGCAGGAGCCACCGGCGCCTCGGAGGAAACTTTCCCTTTGCCTCGCTCAGCTCCAGGCTCGTGTCGTGCAGCTTCTCCGAAAAGCCAGACACCGTGGGACTTGGGGACGACTCTTGCTCGTGCAGGCCTGTCACCGTCTCCCTGATCCCCACCTGTGCTCCCTGGGCTTGCAGCAGCAGCGGGGAAAGGAGGCGTTTAAAGCACCCGCAAGAACTGATCCCCCCAGTAATGCTGCCAAAAGGAATTAATTTCCCACGCTGGACTACGAAGGAGGCAGAGTCTTGCTTCATGCCTGAGGGATGCAGCAGATAACCCTGATGGTCTCAGACTGGATTGACACGAAGCCAAAGGCCAAGCTTAAGGCTCCTTCTGCTATTGCTGCGTCGACTTTTGACTCGAGCTGCTCACAGACAGACACTCGTCCCGTGGGGAGCTCTGGCTGGATAAGTTAAGCCTTCGTTATTGTGCAGTCTGTTTGCATTAACTACAGAAAGTTTGCATTCTGTTTTCTCGGTATGTTGGATGGTGTCTGCCACTTGTTAAGTCTTAGGGGCTTAGTGAATCCAGTGTCCAGCTCTGCTCTAGTGATGGAAGTGAACAGGCCCTTGCTGCCATTTTCAGAATATGCAATTTAATAGGTTTTCCCATGCTGTCACACGTGACTGCACATGAACCAGGACATCTCAGACACAGAACCCCTCTGTTTAAAACTTATTTCAGCTGATTAAAACTCTCTGAGATGTGTTTTTGCCTGGAGAAATTGGGAGAGTGTGTATTTACTTGTATTATAAAATGTTCCTTTTAAACATACATGCTCCAGACTGTTTAATATTTTTTTTTCCCTGCAGCAACTGTCATGGCAAACAACTTCCACAACTGGAAAAAAAACCTTAGCACTTGTTTTTATGGTTCAAATTTGCCAAATAAGTCTCATAACTTCGTTAGTGCTGTCCAATTATCCGTTTCTTTATATCTGCATTGAATATCATATGCCTTTGTGCCAAAATATTAGAAGTGGGAGGGGAGAAAGTGATGATCAGTTTCCTATGGAAATTTTTTTTTTTTTTTTTTTCTTTTGTCATATACGACAGACAAACACAAAAGCTAGATGTGGCTCTGGGAAGGACAGACCCGGACGGACTTGACAGTGGTTGGCGTTGAGGCTTTGGTCCTGCAGCTCCCGAGCGCCCCGGTCCCATAATGGGCTCTTGACTTTTCACGGCATTTCAGACACTTCCCAGGAATTTCCATGTACCTGCCTATCTGTAGAGGGAGGCTTTTCCCATGTGCTTGTTCCTTTGAGACTGCTCTGTTTGTCAACCCCCACCGCCTGGTTTGCAAAAAAAAAAAAAAAAAAAAAATATAAAATAACCCCACGGCTTTTGGACCTGTGGCCTCAGCAAGGCAGGGCACGAGGCGCCCCTCGGTCGGTGGACGCAGGAACAGATGATCCCAGGGGCTCGTTGCCGCTGGGTTTTTTTACCAGGCAAACGAGGGGATGCTGCAGAGAGTTTTCCTCCAGGAACAAGAGGTGACATTTTGTATGTGAAATTTCAATTCTGAGGAAGACTTTCAGGGGTGGATGTGCTCCTGAATGATACAGGCACTTTGGAATGGCCTCTTGCAGAATTTTGACTGTGTAACGCCGCTTGTATCATAGCGCTGGAGGTTTCCTAGGATTTTTGGGTTTGGTTTTGGTTTTTTTTTTTTTTTTTTTTTAGTTTTTGCAATGTGTCTGATTTTAGTTAAATCTCTGATTGCACAGCCTTGTGCAAAAAGAGCATCTGTATAAAATAGCATTTTCTAGCCACTTAAAAAGTAGGTCTGTCTGTCATTGTGGATTGATTTGGCATATACTTTCAGATACAGGTCTCTAACGTAGCTGCAAACACAAATTTATCCTGACTTTTGTGGAAGTTATTTGACTTGCTGTTTTAGCGAGAGAGGGGGAAAAAATCTGCTATGTAAAATGGCCCCAGGTTTCCTCCCCGAGTGTCTTTAACTGTTTTCATTGTCCGCATAATCACGGAGGAAGTTGGACTCTGTGGTGCCTTGTGCATTAGCAACGAAAATGACTCTTAAATTCCAGTGTCAGAGAGTTCAGTGCACGCAACGGTGTGTGCAGGAGCCCGGCCTGACCCAGAAGCTCCAAGCTGGAACAAACCTTAATTTTAAAATGAAGTTTGCACACAGAATCGCCTCCTCAGCCAAACCAAGAATTGGACCTGGATTGCTGCTAGGAACCAGATTTCTGTCTTCTGCTTGATAAAGGAGAACGGATTGCTAACTGTTACGAATAGATGCCTTTTGTAAAACGATTCAGATGATGCATAAGAACTTTGGTTGATCTCACCTCATCATCCCTAAAGTAAAACGACTTCACGTGGAAAATGTAAGCTGGTCTAGCAGTACAGTTAGATAAAATTGCAAAGATTATCTCCACTAAAGTATTAATTTCCTCTCCTCCCCTTTGTTTGCCTTCTCACTAATTCGTCAAAGCTTTATGGTTTCTAAACTTACCTTATAAAGTCAAATGGAAAGTCCTGTACCGTGCAACAAAAGATAAAGGCTGGGGGGGGGGGGGGGGGATCCAAGGGACGTGGCGGCCGAGTTTCCTTCTGTGTTGCAGGGCTGAGGGGGGTGGCAGGGGGGCAGCGGAGCCCCCGCCCCACGCGGGAGGGGCCGGGCCGGTCGCGTGGCGTTAACGCAGGGGAGGAGGTCGCCGGCGGCTTCTCGGGTTTCCTTTTTTTTCCTGCAACTTTATTAAAGTAGCTTTCGATATGTAGCACAAATGTACGCGATCAGCCATGCCCTAGCTTAGATTACACGTCTGTACTGGAATATCTTCTCGTTTAAGGGTAGTCTTGGCTAGTTTTACCTGGATTTCATACGTTTTTGTTACTAGCAGAGAGTCACTAGCAGGAACTTTGACTCTTTTTAATTGGTGTAGCCATACACAAGGGCCTGGCTGCTGGCAGATGATATTGACGGCCTTGTGGTTTTAAATGACTGTGGTGATTTTTTTTTTTTTTTTAATTATTATTATTAATGTATTGAACCGAATTGCAGTTTGTATCTTGTATTAAGCTTGTCTTAGGAGCAATCCAGTGCTGTCCATTTGATTTAATCGCCAGGAATCGGCGTGCGTATGTACAAAGATGGAGAAATCTAATCGTAACAAATTTCCCCAAAGCTGTGGCTACCCATATATGCCCCAAAAAGGCTGGGGGTAACTTTTGAGAAAGAGTTAAGCAAGTTAGTTTCCTCTCCCCTTCAGGATCAGCACAGTTTGCGCCAGGCAGAGGACTCCTTTGCAGGGTGAAGAATATTCAGGACTCCATCTCAAGCAGCAAGTACTGCCATCCGTGCCTTGTGCTACTCACTGACAGGAAAAGCACAAGGGGCAAGAAGAACAGCTCGGTGAAGGACTTCGGCCATATCCCAAAACATCCAGGAGCTTTCCTAGTTCTCCAAGGTACTGGATAGGTAGGAGGAATGGAATTTCACAAATAAGCTGGTAAGCTAGGATGAGAAATAATTAGTCACTATATAGTAGTTGATTGAGCGGTATGGTTAAGAAATTCAGTATATGGTTTTTATTATGTACATGCTTTTGTATTTATGTTGTCTTTCTCGAATATTCGGATGAATCAAGTATTTAATTTTTCACAGAAAGGGCAGTTAAGGACTCAGAGTATCAAACCGTTCGCGTGTTCCTTTCTGATGACTGCTAGAAACGAGGCAATTACTGACGGTGAGCGCAAGAGACTCACCTCAGCACTGAGCAACCCGCCCCGGCGAATAAAACAGGACGGGGGCTTCTCCAGCAGGAGCCTTTGCCCGCGTTGCTGTTTGATCTTTTAGCAACAAGTCAGGTTCCCAGGTGGGCCCGTGAGTCGCGCCCTTCAGAGTTACGAGGCTTTAAAAAGAAAGGAACGTATTACTCCGTGAACCTTTTGGTCCCTCTTAGGTTTCTGCTGGAGGCAGCCGCCTCCCCCTCTCCATTGACTGTTCCCCCTGTGATAGATACGTATGAGCATGTTCGCATTAGCATTTAGATGTTCCTAACCCGGGATTGTATGTTAATGACCAGTGATGTCACCTCCCTGCTTTAGCTTGTTAAGCATTACCCACCTGTTTTGTTATTAAAGGCCTGTATCATGTATGCCCTCTTATTTCATACGTGAAACTGTAAGTTCTATTTTTGACATTTTAATAAACTTTGATTTGAAAACTGCGGCTCATGTAGAAAATAAGGCTGTTGTAAAAATCTATTCAAGGACACAAACTGTGAAAGCATTTGGAGTATTGAAACTGCAGGTAATCCAGAGACCAGCGGCATCTTTAGGTCTGTATGATGAAGGTTCTTCCCAGTGATTTGCACGAGATCTCAGTTACAGGTAAGATCTTCATTCTTTTTACAGTTTGGACGGTTTTGCTCAAGAATTTAAAGCCAGATGTAAAAAAATAATTTAAAAATTGCAACTAGTTGTTTTAACTAACAGGAATCAGAGGTGAGTAGCAGCGGAGCACTGTGGCTCAAAGGATTTATTGTCAAATTGCTGGAAAAGTCAGACGTAGCTCAGCATTGACTCTTGGCCCATTGTGCTAAACCGCAGCGGTGCTTTCACCTTATGGCTGTGAATGAGGGAGCGCGGGAGCTGCAGTGGGGTATCTACTGCCTTGTCCTCAGCGTCTTGTCAGGAGGCAGATCCTAAAATACCTCTGGTGTCTCTCTGCTGAGGAATTTTTTAAGTCCCGTGCTGAAGTCGCGGGTTTGGCCACTCGGTTGTTCTCTTCTGCAGAAGGGAGGAGGGCGGGTGGCTGGGCAGGCGGGTGCTCTCCGGGCCGTCGCGCGCCGGTGCTGCGGTGCTCGTGCTCTCGCTCCGGCTCGGCGGCATTCCTCCAGTCCACGCCTTGACCGTGCTGAAAAACAGGAATTCTCTCGGACCCGCTTTAAAAGTGCCCCACTGTTTCACCAAATCTAGAGAAACGACGGTTGGAAGAGACTCCTGGAGGTCTCTAGGCCGACCTCATGCTTGATCCAAGACTGCTGCCAACACTCGATTGGGTCGGCTGGGCTTCTGTCCAGATAAATCTTGAAGAAGAATCTTAAAGAACCGAGATTCTACCCGCCCCCTCCCCGGATAAGCCGTTCCATGGCTGCATTACGTTCCGAGTGGAAAAGTTTTCCCGTCTTGATCTCCCAGGCTGTATTTTTGGCTGTCGCCCCTTGTTAGAGTCGGTTTTTTTGAGTCGGCGCCCTCCCGTCGCGGGGACGGCGTCGTCGGCCACCGCTCCCGCCAGAAATGCAGCGAGCGGCCGGGCTGGAAGGGCGCTGGGCTCCTCCGCGCCCGCCGCAGGGGCTGGCAGCCGTGGATGTGTCCCTGCTGCTGTCGTCCCCGCGGGGGCTGAGCCTGGAGGGGACTTGGGGCTGTGAAACCTCCCGCGAAGCAGCAGTTTCAGGGCAGGTAGCCGGGTCGGGTGCCATATGGGGAGGGGGGGGGGAGAAAAAAATTCAGCTGGCCTCCGAGAGGGCATTCTCCAAACAGCCTTCCGAAACCACAGCATGCTATGATCTCATCCTGTGAACTAACGTTGCTGCTGGGGTTTCACTGCTACGCAGATATTTTGTTGTTGTTGTTGTTGTTGTTTTTTCCCGACAGAGGATTCACGAGAATCCTTTTTCCACTCCGTTTTCCAACCACGTGGTGATAAAAAGGTCCCGTCCAGGTTTTGCGCTGGGGTTGCCAAAACTCAAGCGTGATGCAATAAATCGGCTCCGAGCTGCGAGTTCTGCTGGTTGTCACCTGGATGCATCCCAGATTTCAGTATCACAGTCCTCTCATCTGCGCTGAAGCAAAATAAAATACAGGTTTGACAATAAACGAAAAATCTCAGAGCCTTAGCCAAAAAAAAAAAAAAAAAACAAACGTGACTTGACGTTGTGTGGAGGTTTCAGTTCAGGCAGAAGTTGGGCAACAAGCGGTTGGTCTGTGCTGGCAGGAAAGTCCCCCGGGAAGGGTCACCCCGGCCGTGCCACGCGTCCCACGCGCCAGCCCGGACCCGGCACTGCCCCCCCGCAAGCCCTTAACTGGGGAGCTGGGGGAGCTGGGGGGGTCTCTGGCTGTGGTGGGTGGTTCTGCACTGAGGGTTCATCCCTGTCTCTCCGCTTTCTCCGGGCTCCGGGGGGTTGGGGGTTCTGCTCCCCCCGGCCAGGCAGCTGCGTGAGGGCGGTGGGAGCCCCACCGGGGCCAGGAACCACAGCGCCCACCTCATAAACCATATAAACCTCCTTTTCTTTTGATTTTTCCCTATAATCTACTAATTGTGGGTGTTTAGGACAAAGTTTCCACGAGTCCAAAGCACTGCCAGAGTAATTGTTTTTTGTTTGAGATACGCTTTACTCTTCTTGTAAGCAAGCAGCAATTTCTCCTTCTAATAATTAATTAATATTTCTGTAGCCTTTAGTCAGAGCTGGGAGTTCGCTAGCAGGCTTGGAATTTGTCAGTTTAATTTTACACTCGAATGTATTTCTAACGACCCAACAACTAGTTTAATCGCAAAAAGAAATGCAAACTGAACTGGCTACAGAGAAAGACGGGACTTGGCCTCAGAAGCCGCATGGACTGTTTCGTATAGGTAACAAAATCAACAGCAGACGGTGTAACAAAAAAAAAAAAATCATCTTTTCTCAAGTCAAAAGAGCAGCAGTATTGCAGTGAAAAGCCTTTTGAGCCCAGAAAAAACTGTAGTATGTTTTGGCTGCATTTAAGGATGGGTCGGTACAACTACCAAGCCTGAACGCAAAAGATGACTGAGCCGTTTGGAATCGATACGGAGCCGCAGCCGACTGTGGAACGTGTTTCTCCAAGGCCCCCACGCTCACTCCTCCAAGTGCTGCTCTGGGTTAGAAAAGGCCAGGGGAGAGATACAGAGGCTCCGACTTCTCTGCGTGTGGAGAACAGACCCTCCCCAGAGAGCAGCTGCTCTGCCGAGGAGGAGGGTGGTTACCTTCCGAGCACGGAGCGAAAATCCCGCCGAGAGGCGGGGGTGAGCGGCAGCGGCCAAGTGCCCCCCGCCATCGGCAGCCGCTCCGGCGTCGCGTCACGTGGGATTTGCAGATTCTTCCCTTCCCTTTAATTTCAAGGTCTCCCGCAGCCTCTGGAGGGGTCGCCGTGACCCTTTGTTCGATGCTCTTTGCTAACACGGACGCGCTCGCGTTCCTTTGAGCTTCCTGGCGGAGACCACGGCCAGAAACGGATGCTTCCCGCTTTCACTGAAGCATCGTGGTTTTCTTCAGAATTGTGTCTTTAAAATTCATTTTCTGTACATCTCGGTGCTCTTGTGACCATCGTTACCTAGGCAAAGCCGCCACATCTAGCCACAGTGCATCAGCTTAACTGCGGAGCTCTTCCAGAGCGGTTCCAGTTGGGCACTGGAGCACCAGGGCCAGGGAAAACAAACAACTTCAAAACCGTTACAAGGCTTTAAAACCAAGAGGGGAATTCTTCTGTTGCTAAGCTGTGGCATACAAAGCGAAACTAGGTGAAAGACCCAGCAACGTTCGGGTTTGCTTCTCCACTAATGCCCCTTTTATTCATTCCTGTATTTATTTTGTAAAGAAATTCTGCAGCAAAATCGGAAGCCTCTCTTCAGAAAAAAAAAAAAAAACAAACAAAAAACCAGACAAACAACAAACCAAAAAAACCCAACCCACAAAACAACAAGCAAGTCACCAGCAAAGTAAACTTTGATTTAAAAATACAACACTCTTTTTAAGGATCATTAAAACTCCTTCCTTGTATCTCCTAGCCGCGCCTCCTGCCCTGATGGATGGTGCTTTTTTAAAGCGTAGATTGCAGGGACGAACAAGACCCGCGCTCACAGCACAACCGTGTTTGAAAGAGTCCCCCAAAACATCGCCTGTGCCAACGGCTCCTTCTTCAGCTCCCAGCACCCCTCCTTGTCCTCGCCGTACTTGCTCTGCGCTTTCGCAGGCTTCTTCCTGTCACCGCCTGCACCCAGAGCTGCGACTCGCTCCAGGGTGGATTTCCTAGACTACAAACCGATTCGTAGCAGGCTGGAGAAGCGTGTTCCCCGGCTGGTAATTCTGACTCCTGGGGTAAGGCGTCCTTTATGAGAATTTAGCTGCTGCTACCTTGTAAAAATGCAGCAAGGAAGTTGATTTGCATTCGTATCATTTTGTTAAATTTAAACAGTCACACGTCTATCACATAACGTTTTATAACGTGAAGTGCGTTATTTTCTTCACTGCCTTCACCTAATTTACTCTGCGCTTTTGCCGTTTATCACTATTGCCCAGCAAATAGAAAGGGAAAAAACCCCAAGATTTTGGTTCCCAAGAAGCAAACAGGGAGAAGCGTTCCCTGCTTGGAAGGAACCACCTTCAGTTCTTTCTTCCAGCTCCGTGTGCGGGGGGAGGAGGAGAAGCGAACGGGAGGAGGTGGGAAAGCCTCCCTGCAGAAGGAACAGTTCTTAAAAATAGTTATTCTACTACAGTGGCGCTACTGCTCAGTCTTTGTAGGAGAAATGCTCTTCAAACCACTGGTGAGGCTTCAGCTTTATCTCCTAAGAGTTGAAAACGCTGCGTTTTTTACCCAGAAAATGATTTACAGCGTTCCAAGAAGCCTATTTTTTCAGCTTTGCTCAATCTTAAAAGAAGAGGCAGTGAATGTCAAGAACCACTCTGAAAGCGCTTTCCACATTTAAAGCCGTCAAATAATTTAGGGAAAGCCACTGTCTCGAGACTCACAAACTTCCCTGACACGAACAAACAGACGTTGGAAAAGTGAATTTCAAAATTCCTAGATGGGACTGCTCGCCACCACACGGCGTGTGTCCCGAGCGGGCAGGAAATGCTCCGGGGGGGGCCCGGCCCCGCAGCAGGGCGGCCGCTGGCCACCGCGTGGCATTTGCCTCTTCTCCCTCCTGCCCCCCCCAGCCGCCTTGTCCTCCTTGCACCTTCCATGCTGGTGCTCTCCAGCGGAGACGATGACTTATATACTAAATCTAAGGAGAAAAGAATTTATTTCGAAGCAGCAGCCACCTGAGCCTTGTCCCCCGGCGCCTTCTCGGGAGCATCCAGGAGCGCGAGTCTGTAGCAAACGCGTCGCGTGAGAGCGTGGGGGTTTTTGACGTCGCAGCTTTTCTCTGCAGGTGCTCAGGACAGAACCCACCAGCGGCTCTGCGCGCGCCGCTCGGCCTGGGAGGCCCAAGCGCTGCAGGTCTGGGGAGGGAACTTCACCCCTGGAACAGCAGCAAAAAGTCTGCCTTGCACTTCATCCCAAATGGAGTTTCTAACGGGAACCCAGGGAGCGTGGCCCAACGCCTGACCTGCCGGGGAAGGACCACGGACTCACACACACACACACAGCTCAGAGCCTCTGGGCCGTTTTTAATAGCTTTGGCACTCAACAGGATCAACCCTGCAGCCTTGGCATAGCATCCCACGATAGGGCACCATTCAGCAACTTCCTCTTCGTGGCTCGTATAAATCTGGTTTGTTTTAACTAGTAAGTCAGCTGTAAAGCTACATAAAAGCATCAAACAGGCTTACATCTAAAACGTGGAGTTTAGAGTTAAGTAGTCACTTAACAACCACCAGCCATACGTAGAAAGAGAACTGGGAGTAAATTTGTTTATTTAAACTCAAAAGAGGAAACAGTAAAAATGTTAATTTGAAAAATGTAAACTAATGATTATTTCCTCTAACTGCATGCATCGCCTTCCAAAATTCTCCGAGAGAGAATACATGAAGAGTCAGGCAAACCCACTCTAATAATGAGGTGCTGCGGAATGTGTTACTTACTGCAACAGTACGGAGAATCCTTTAACCAAAGGAAGCAACTAAAGCTAAATGGGGCTTTGCACAATGAACACAGATCACTCTTTTAGGATTTTTTCTGTCGCTTACAGCTACGGAAGAACTTAATTCTCTTCATCCGAGGAGAGACCTTCGATTTCATCTCTGTCTCCCCCAATTGCCATCCAGAACGCCTTGGCCACCTAACAACGGAGGAAGAGAAGGGAAAGGGTGAAAAACTCCCCTCAGATGACCAAAGATTTTGCATTTACCATCCAAAATCCAGAAACTGAGCAGCAACTAAATCTAGCAACCGTGTCTCTAGGTACAATGCTAATCCTCTCTGAAGTTGAGAAATTTTAACACAGAGGCAAGAATTTAGAATTCATGGGAGGCCTATGTGATACAAAGCTTGTGCTAATTAGGGCACGATTAAATTTTCCTTGAGATCCAGGCTTTTCTATGGACTTAAGTGGAAGGTGGGTTACATCCTCGGCGACTGCAGGGCCTTCATTTCAGAAATTTTGAAAGGGGTAAGTTTTCCTCTGGTGTTTCAGACTTCCAGGTTAGTTACTCAGTTCTTAGGATACCACAGAGTCTTCCCTAGGACTGTGCCGTTTGTCCTTGCTACTCTTAACACTCTACAAGAGAAGTAACTACAGCTTAGAAAGGAAAAGCCCATTTTTAATGATTTCAATGCCCATCTCAAAACCTCACCTTTTCCGCGTGTAGTTTTCTCTGTTCATGAGGCAAGGTTGCAGCTTTATCTGTGAAAAAGAACATGACTTGGGTTGTCAACCTCAGGAGCGAGCAGGGAGAGAAATGCCTATTGCAGCTGTTCTTAGGGGACTGTCAAGAAACCAGTTTAAGATTACATAAAAGCAGTCTTATTTAGTAAAAGCAATTGCAGTTCCCAAACACCAGCAAGCCGATGTTTCTGAGCATATTGGATTTCACCTCAAACATTTGTAGCTTTAAACTGCAAGATCGGCACACAGTTGTAGAGCTAAAAAAAAAAAAAAAAAAAAATACAAAAGTCTTGTAGGTTTGTTTATAGAAAACTGGAGCATTAGTTTACAGTGGACAAAATCAGAGTGAGAGCAGTCGGCTGAGCAATATCTGCTACTTCCAAGAGCACTATCAAGATGAAGAGTAAATTAATGAAAAGATCAGCTCCTTAGAAAGAACCTCAGACAGGCGAATAGGAATTTGTACCATCTATCTTCCCCATTCCCACCCTGGCTTTCACGCCTGCGAGTGACTGAAATAGGTGGTACAGCTCCGCACTCTCTCCCTGGTACGTTACCTTTCATTTCTTTCAGCTTTGAAAAGAGCCTTTCAAAGTTCTCCAGGTCACCCTCTCTCGTGGTTAGGCTGGCTAACTCCTGAATGTCCGTATCTAACATAGGATCTGAAAGAAATGCGTACAGGTTGACTTCAGGTAAATGATTCTGTTTCGTCAGCAGGCATGAAAGTCTTTCTGATAAAAGCAGTATTTTAACATCTGCAAATCCCATTTGCAAATTCCAACCCCAGCGGAGGGAAAGAAGCATGCAGTTTACTGATTGTTCATACAGACAACTCATGGGCATCGTTACAGTGGTAATTAATTTTGATACGTTGCACTGCAGGAGTGTTTGTGAGCTCATCCAGTATTTAAGGTTTCTTGCTTATTATAAAATGGTCTAGGAATGACCACAGAGTACCTTAAAGAGTAATAAGACTACGCTTAGACCACAACTGACACCACCCAACCTTCAGAAGATCTTCGCATACAGCCTGGAACAAAGTCCCAGCCCCTGGAACGGTGCAATTATTTAAGGACCTGTAGCTTCAAACACTTGACCCCCATAGGACCGACCCAAGCAGAGTGTGCTTCCTTCACCTCCTGCTGGGTCGAGCTGTAATGGTTTTTCTCTGCAACCATAAAGCTTGGAGCTTTATTCTTACAAAGACGTTTCTAGATATACGCAATCCGCGCGTCAGAAAATTTCACCTAATCAGATCTGAACGTTTCCAGGCGGCGGCACTGCAGGGACTCTGTCCTAGCCAAACTTGGGCCCGTTTTTTTTCAGGAAGGAGAACCCCTGAAGTCTAAACAATTAACCTCTCCTGGCTCTGGCAAGCTCGCTGGTGCCGTACTTTTCATTGAGAAGAAGCCGGCGGCTTCCTGGGCCCGTCCCAGCCAGGGGTGGCTGCTCCAGGGTATCTGCCAAGCAGAGAAAGCGCTTACCTACAGTGCTGTCAGCCCGTGGGCTGTTTGTGCCAACTGCATCTTCTCTGTTGTCTGAGTGGGATTCCTCTCTGTCTGCTGACGATGGACTGGGCTGGCAGGAAACAAGCAGGTATTAAAGAGTATCCAGTAATGCACCTAAAAAGCATCATCAGCAAATCAGGTGCTTCCCGTTTTGACTCCAAAAACTTTTATCTTCAACCGTTAGTGCAAAACCTGCACCGTGTGTATTATGAAAAGCCACTTTTGCAATACTATATATAGGTACTGCGTGAAGGCTTTCTCTGATAGCTTGGTGGTTATTTTTTTCAGTAACACTATCAAGTGATAGTTTTTGTTTTGCACAAAATACTGCTCTTGGATATTAATGAAAAACAACAGCTTGAATGGAGCTTTTCATAATCTTTCCTTGGCTCCAGTGGGTTGTCTGGGGTAAAACATTTACAGAGTGCTGAAGTCGGTGTGATCGACACCCGCCCCTGAGCACAGAGACCTCTCCGGGGAAAATGGTGAGTTCTGAGGCAATGCCCTGAGAAATAGCGAGCTCACAGCCATGAGGTGGCAGCTCCTAGGAACAACCGTCTCAGGAGGACTTGTACGAAAAACGCGGGTGGTTTTTCAGACTTTGGAAATATTTCCTCTAAACCATTCCAGCAGGCTGTGAAGCATCCCGTGAGAAAGGAGATGAAAAAAAAAAAAAAAGAGCCCCCCCGCCCCCAACCACCGAACCACCGCACCAAGTGTGAGGATAGGGAAGAGCAACACAAGAAACTAACAGCAAAGAACAAGAAATAGGAATTACTGTTTACTTCTGTATCTTGGTTCTCCTCTGCCTCAATGCTACAGTTGGCACCTGCTAAGGTACTGAGAAGACCAAAGCCCTGGCTCCTGTCTGAAGAGAAAACGGCTGTTAGTTTGACCGAAGATGCGGTATTGTCACAAAGAGCAGAAGGGATAGAGAATATTTCAGGGAAGACGCGCAGCACCCTGTAAAATCGTGCCAGTGCACTTGAAAATATATTTTAAGTTGAAATTTTTCATCTTCTTTAAGCTTTTTTTTAAACTATATTAACACCATTTACTGCTAAATATTCCAAACAGGGTATGGGTGTGTAAGCCACAAGAGATGTAAGCCCTTTTTACTTCTTATTTGATGTCATTGCTCTGTCAGGATTTTCTCTGGCAAATGTCTTTTGATTCCACACAGGGCAGTTTTCAAAATACAGGAGCAGCATTTGCTGTTACTGGCATTCAGTGGACCAGGTTTCCCCGTCCATGGGAAGCAGCACGGAGTCTGGGGTCAGATGCAGGAAATGCAACACGTGCCTTTGCTTATGCACACGTCTGCCAAATAGGCTGAGCACTACGGTAGTGGCAAAGGCAATGTTTAAATATCTACTGCAGAATTCATGGAAGGACCCAGCCATCAAATCTAACATTTCTTCACACTGCAGGGTCCTGTGGGCTTTCCACATCTGCTAACCTACTGTGTATTTCAAAGGTATTTTAAAATCCAACCTAAAAAAAAAAAAAAAGTGAATTCAAACCTAAAACTAAATAATCATCTAAGATAATAGATGCGGTGCAGTATTTTTAAATTCAATTGTATTTTTTAAACTTTTTAAAGATAAAAATACATGTCTAATAGGTGATATATTATGAGGTGGTTTTTTCTAAGCCATGATTTCAGCTGGTCTTGCACCGAAATATTTGCAGTTACACAAGGGACTCCAGAGTTTTTTCTAAAAATCTTAGCATTTTATTCAACTAAAAAAGAAATCATGTTAAGTTATTACACTACAAATAGCCAGGAAACAATGACTTGTGCCAGAAGAAAGACCTAGTATCACTTTTGAACATAAAAAAAAAAAAGTGTTCTGAATTATTACGCTAATGACTAAGCCCTAGACTGAAATGTTGCGATGATGTCATTTTGATGCACCCTCCAAATCTACTTGCCCATTTATACAAAATTGCATTCTGAGGAGCTGAATGCGTAACTAAAACCATCAGCTCTCTAGAAAACATGTAAACGTGTGGCCATTAGAGAATTACTAAATCCTCATTTCCTGCTTAAGAATCTTCGCGGTGTCCTTAGGCTGCTGCGTGTCCTGTCCCGGTCCTCGTCTCCCCTCGTGCTTCCCCCACCCCCCAGCAGGTATTTGTTTCAACTGGCTCTGGTTTATACAGTTTCAGTGCTTTAACAGATCGCTCACCAAAGGTTTGGGAAGCGCTGAATCACTCTAGCCTTAAAATATTCAGTTGCAAGTCATGCGCAAGGCCGTGAAGTCCACCAGCTAAATTAGCAGGCAATTAAGGGATAAAAGATTGGGACTCGCGACCCAAAGCAAAGCTGCTTCCCCAAGTTTCAGCAGGCTGAGCAAAGAGCTGTCTCTAGAGAGACTGTAAAGATGGACACGTAGCCAATTTCTGAGTCATCTGAAGCTAGACTGGACGCTGCGGTCCAGAATGTGCTTGAGAGAGAACGCTCCCCCATGGGCAGAGGGCTGGATGAAGTGACCTAAGCATGTGCCTCTTTCCTATCTATGACTGGAGTTCATCCTCTACAGAAAAACGACAGTGGCTCCATCCCCCTCCCCACCTCCTGCACCTAACCTCAGCCAGCGTGATTACAAAACGTTGTCCTGGTTCGAAAGGACTGGAACCTACAGCAGGGATCTCTGAAAAGCAGCTCTTTGTTTCTGGATCCGTGGTTAGGGAGGTGGCAGACATAACACTTGGTTGCAGGCACACCCTTGAAAAAGCCTTCCTATAAACTCTTTTTATTGGATGTAAAAAGTTATTTCAACATCTGGGTGCAATTCAGGAAGTGGGTGATGCCTTACACAGTGTTCTTACAGCATCAGGGCCAAAAATTATCTCACTCAACTTATTGTAATAGCTGGTGGCTCCGTCGTGATGGAGGCTCTGTAGTGTCACAGGTGTCACTCATCAATAGTTGTGGAGCTTTGTGCTCCGAGCATGGCTTGGAGATTCATAAATGCTCATTTCATAGCAAAACGTTTTGCACTGTCTGTATCTACTATTCTTCCATAGCCTGTCTCTAGGTGACGTGTGGTGACCCTGACTTCCATACAAAATTGGAACTAAAAAGTCAAGATTCGTTATGTGTTTAAATAACTTCAGTTTAAATAGCCCCCCTAAATCAGGTTAATTCTTTGCAAAGAGAGCCAGGCTAATTCCTGGCCCCACCCCAGGCAGCCAGCTTCAGCTGGGGTCACTGAAGCAGGTATTTAAGCAGGAAAGTAGCACCTTCCAGAAGGCAACCAAGTGTTTCTCTTGCAGGACAACTAGCTTTGCTCTTGAAGGAATATCTAAAGGCACCAGCAGTGCTCTACCTTTGTGGGGGGAGGATGTTAGCCGAAGAACTACTCGCGCTCTTCTGCACAAGGGGAAGAAAACCACCCGAGTCTCAGACTGAAGAGAGCTCTGAGGCCTGGAGAACCAACAACTTTATACCAACTACGGGAGGGACCTGCCCTCTGGAGACTCTCGGGTAAGAGCGCTTGCTCTTCTTTCAATAGAGACAACGCTGCTTTATTTACTCACAAAGCATGTGGTATTACTTGATGTAAAAACGTTTAGAATTCAACCAGGCTATATTTAATACTTATTTTTATCAATTGGTGTGAGAACAAATGTATCTAATGGTTAGAGGAAAAAGCCAAAAGGTCAAGAATTTTTCTTAATAGGTGCGTGAAAAAACTACTTTGTAACTTAAGAATTGTGTTTGAGTTTCAGATGAAACAACTTAAAATAATATAGGTTTAACGCTTGTACTTGAAAAAAATAATTCCTGCTCTGTCTGTAAACTTAAATTCTAGTACAAAGAGATAGCTGAGGTAAGGCAACAGTGTGACACTAGGTTTTTGGATACTTACACTTAACAGTGTCATAAGCATTGGCTGCTACGCAAATATCTTGTACTCTATGAAAACTCTTCAGTGAAGTACAACTGCATGGTTTCTAAATGGGCAGCTGTTACAGGTAATTCAGTAGAAAAGCTAAAGTTTAATTTACATGGAGGCCAGTTTCCAGGATCAGGAGGAAGTTGAAAACAAAAGATATGTTACAGGTTGTAAAAGGTTTTATTTTAAGTGAAATGAGCTCAACAATTTCCCTTTGAAGGCACAGTCAGGCTGCGGCAACTTCCCAATATAGTTCACTTCCTGGGGGGTTTGTTGTAATGTGCCTCAATGCTGTGTGGTTTCTGTAGTGTGGAGATAGAAAATCTGGATTTTCAAGGAGTCTGACCTTTACGGAACACGCTAATGATGCACAGGAATTTCCCCCACGAAGAACTGAACATATGATTAAGTTCTGTTCTTCCGTAACGTGGCATCTGTCAAATGCAGGAAATAAGCTGCTAAGAAAACTGGTTTAGCACCCGTGAGATAACTTCACACCACCTCAAATGGCTATCTACTCCTCTACAGCGGTTACATGAACTTAGAGCCCACCTCAACCTCCTCCTGATACGACATGAGAAATACTCAAAAGGCTATGTTAAAAAAAAAATTTAAAAGATTAATGGTTTAATAGCTTTTACCCTAGCTCTACTGAGTCCCGGTAACCATCCTGCAGTTAGAGGAACTAGAAGCCTCTCAGCACTTGAAATCGTTGCGCAGGTAAAAGACGAAGGAAGGAAGAAGCAGCAACAGTGGAAAATTGTACATCAGGGAGCAGACAGGCATTGGAAGGTCGTTAGTGGGATAAGACTTTGTGAAAGAAGAAATGTAAGGCCAAGCACTCCACAGGAGTTTAATCTTCCCACATTTCCTGCAACAGCTCGTGTTATCAGAAAGGTAATTAAAGGTTTTCAAGTAAATGGAAGCATCTACACTTGCAGTAACTCTGGGTTAGCCACAGCATTTCCTTTTCTAATGAGTCCAATTCTAAAATGTTTCTTCCAAAACTCTAACTCTGCCTGATAATCAGTTGTTTGCAGGAAATTACCTGGGGCTGCCTGTTTTTTGCACTGTTTTCACAAGATTCTGTGGTTTCCATGTACTCAAGCAGGGTTTTCTGTATGGAAGACAGTCCTTCTTGCAGCGCACTTAGTATGTCCTTCAACAGACATGTGAAATCGCTTCTTTGCCAAATCTCATCTCTGCACTTTGCTATTCTCATCCCCGTTTCAAAATTTTTTCTCAAAGAAACTAACGGATTTGGAATTTAACACTTCTACACGAAACCATGTATGTTTTTAAACCAAGCTGGTAATGACTAGCTATTTGCCGCTAGACTTTGGTGGAACAAGCTTTCATTTCTTCATTGAAACTGGAAGAGTTAGTGGAATATTTAACTCAAGTTACCGGTAGAGGGCAAGTTAAAGTACAGAGGGAAGAGGAATAAATCTCACCCTTGCACGTAAGTCTCTCTGTGCATCAAGGGACAATGAAAGCAATACCTGAAACCCTCCTATTCCACATAAAAGGTTGACGAGTGCTCTAGTTCTCTTTATACTGATGCAGCAGCAGTAGCACTGCAGCTGCTCGGTTTAAACTTTCGCTAGGTCTCGTGTTCTCCAGGATTCATGTAAGAGGAACCTGTGTTACATACCGCTCTTCATGACCACGTTGGACCACACGTTGGCATTCAAAGCTTGTACAATTCGTTTCACTCCGGTGGACTCTGGAAAATCATCTAAATGAAAAGACAAAGACATTGCACTCCTAACAATTAGACCAAAACCATTACGTGCCTGAAAGTAAGAAAGTGTGTGTCTGACTGCGCGTCCTATCTTACAGCAAGGGATACAAATGATTTATTTTGTTAGAGAATACAGATTTCTTGCCTCTGCTTCATGAGAGGCCAAAGAAATGTCAATTAACGCCTCACTTCTTGGTCTAGGCTTCTGGGTATTATGAACTGTGAGCTCTCAGCCTTTTGTAGAGAGATCTAAATTATGAGTGGGGGTTTTGTTAGGGATTTAGCATGAGGCCTACAATGTTAAAGAACATAGAAGTAAATTTAATGGTAATAGACAAATTTTAAGTTGCTGTCAAAAGCAAGGCATCTTTTACCCCAAGATCTTTTAGAATGCTGTATGGCATAAAAGTAGATGCTGAAATTGCTCTTCCTTCCTTTAGAAAGTAAAGAACTTCTGACAACTGCTTAAAAAAGGTGTAATGCTTGTTAAAAATGAACATGACCATTGTAAATCTCTCTCTGCAGCATCTAACTCCAAACGTGCCAGTAATCCTGTGGATTACAGTAACTTACTGGGGAAAAGCATTATTTGGACTTTGACTTATTTACTGAATAGATGTGACACCACTCTGTATACAGTCAGTTTTCCCATTTCCTCAGTTTAGCCAGCTTCCCATGTTTGTGCAGGTCTCAAAGCAATAGGAAAAAAAAAAAAAAAAAAAACAAAACCCTTTGGATACAAAAATGTGATTGCTTAAAAATCAAACTCTTTTAGGATGACTCAGGGACAGGTGCAGTAATTGAAACTGCCTTTAAAAATGCATTTAAACCTGTCTGTGACCCTTTAGGTCAAATATTTTGCCCGCTGTGACACTGTTGTTTGGTTTTGGTTTTGTATCAGAGTCATTATCAGGAGTCTCAGTTTAGAGTCCTTGTCTTTGCTGCGCAAACTGACTGACAGTGTAGTCATAGCAAGAGCTCCAGTTTGTTTGTGATGAGCTGCCAGAAATGTCATAATGTTTAAACAGATATTAGCCCAGTAAGTTTACTGCATCCATTTTATCTTTTCCAATTCATACAGCATGTTTACTCCCATATTTACTACCATAAAAAAATCTAAGATAGAACATATATCTTAATACTCCAAAGATTAACATCCTCAGTTTTTATTATTCCTGTTACTTGTATTATTTAAATGGTAAATAGCTTGTTCTTTACAATAATTATTCAGAAGGAAAAAAAAAAAAAAAACAAAAACAAAAACACAACAACAAAACAAACTTGATCCAATGTTACCAGTATGTCATTTTAAAGCTCTTCATAAGAAAACTTTAGTCTACAGTGTACCAACTTCCAATTTTTCTGGTTTCTATAAATCAGAAATACATGTGTCCCTCCCTAACAAAGTGCCAAAAAGAAAAGCACCTTGAGAGACATGGCAGGGAGAGGACGGGTGTTCTTAGCTACTCAAGATACAATTTCAATCTAGGCCTTTAGAGGGGGTGGGAGGGGAGGAACTTGAGTTCTGGCTTAGAAGACCTTTAGACCAAATTATTTTTGTTGACAGCTACGTACTTGGTGAACCTGAAATAGAGCAAATGCTAGTGACTAATTCCACTCAAGCCTGGAAATGGGGTCAGTTATCTCACTTTGGCTCTGTAGAGGTAAGATGTAAACACTTTCTTTGTATCACTGAAATGAGGAGATAAGGCTGATGCTGATAAGGCTGTCAGGAAGTGCACAGTCACTTTTCAAGAGTGGAACATCACACATCACGCTTCTGACTTTGCTTGATGGGTTTTTTCAAGTTATAAACATATGGTCAACCAGTGATTTTGAAACTGGTTTATTTCCTGTGTAACAGTTCGTGCTATTCTGAAATGTTTTTAACAATCTCCCTTTTTCAGCCTATTGTGTCACCATCTGAATAAGGTCTATATTGTCTTGGTATGTAAAACAGTTTTTAAAGCCTTTTTTTCAAAAGACAAAGAATTTTCCTGCCCTTGTGCATCCCTCTGGTTCTTAGTTTGTAGGTTTATTTCCAAAGCGGAGTATAAATGCTTCTACTCTATCAATACAGTCCTAGCACTAGTGTCAGAAAAATGAGCAGATATTATTTTTATGTAGGTTCTACATAAACAGCAGCTGTATTTGGGAGGAGACAAATGTAATTTCTTGGAGGGAATAACCTCCTCCTCCCGACCTTTTATAGCTGAGACTAAGCCTCACCAACTGGGAGCATTCCATGCTGTAATCCTGTAACATGTAAATAAAGTTATGCCCCTTGCAATTGTTTAGAAGATATTTTGGTGTACTTTTTCATTTTAAAAACTGAAACGGAAGTAGCACTCCTACCATCTTCATCAGGCAGTTCCTCAGGGCTAAGTTCTACCAGTTCAAAGCCATGCTTGATGCACCATTCTTGAGCTTTCTGTCTGTTAACACCTAAAGTTGGGAAACAAAAGTCCACACTAAACATAGACATTTAAGACTAATAGCAGCAGTTGAATTTTTAGTTACGTTTTATTCCCTCAAAGTTGTTTGCTTATTCTGGATTGTATAGGGAAAAAGTATACAGTGGCTGGTGTGGGTCCTCCATTCACTCTGAACTTCATTCCAAAAACTCCAAACTCCAGTCAAACAAACTCCTCCTTTGAATTCTTTTTTTTTTTTTTTTTTTTTTTCCCCAAATGTCATAAAATCAATGGCCTTGCACTGGGTACTCAAAGGGAAATGCAAGTGAAGTATCACAGTGAAAGAAGACTTGTATTAACTTTCAGTTTGAATCTGAATTAAGTTCCAGGGACATATCTGCACCTTACAACTCGCTGTTGTATTGCATATACTTATCTAAAACCAAAGCAAACATGCATATTTAATGTCCACGTGGTCAGAATAGATGATTGTACTTTCCACTGTAGTTTAGCAACCAATGCCTTTCCAGTTACCCTGCAGTGCATGCTGCTATACTAGGAAGGGGATGCACAGAGCTCACTTCAAGCAAGCTTGTAAAAATCTGATTCAGTTTTAACCACAACTGGCTTAAGACTTCTGTTCCGAGTCAGGAGAGTAACCTGGCTTTCCTCAATCAAGTCTTAGGCCCAGTCTCGCACAGATATTTTAAGAAATAATTGTGTTGGTTTAACTAGAAAATAAATTATGCAAGATTAGTAACTCCTAAATCAGTTTGGAACTTCTTTGGGTTTCATACCATTTTCAGATACTCTGTTACAAACCAGGATCATGACTTCTGGTAACCACTCTTCTGTCAGGGGAAGCCATTCAGAGACACTATCGAGTCCAGATTTCTGTAGGGGGAGGAAAAAAAAAAAGTTCTTCGGAATACATCCTCAAATACTTAAGTTATTAAATTAGTTTTACATCATTAATATTAGAATAAAAGTAATGAAATGAAGAAATATGCTAGGCTGCATATCAAGTATGTTTAAGATACTTGACTTCTAATCAGATTTTTACTTAAGGCTAATCGTGAGTGTTTCATTCTAAGCATATCTGGGTTTAACGTGCAGCTACTCTATCTTCCACGCTAAAGTGGATGTTCTGGGGGCTGGTGAACTACTCCCATTGCTCTAGTTTATTCTGAGACAGCCCAGAGATGTCTGGTTAAAGGTACCTGTGCAGAATGTGCGGTGTGAACCCATCCCCATCTGTGGTGAAAAACAGTTCCTTATTTAGAAGGTTATTTTTTTGGTCTCAAAATCTTTCTGGCTTTTGCTAAAGCACTATTTTCGCTGCTGCTAGCTTAGTAGAAACAATTTGGGGCAAAATAATAGCACCGAATCTTACGTTTAGCTCCCTCGTTCCTGGCTATCCTAAAGCAGCCCTCCTGAGCTAGCACCAGCTAGGAGTAAAGTTAGAGGTGGTGGGCTGGAGGATTTGCCTAACTTAGTGGCATATTTGCATCCTGTAAACCTCTCTTCCAGGTGGAGTATAATAGTGAAAGGGAAGGAACCTGCTTCCACTGGTGGCAGGCATAATTTAACATTGACCTACTGACAATTAATAGAACAGTCTAAAAGGAACGGATGGCACAAGATGAAGAGAATATAATTTGTGGTTATCGCTGTGATAAGGCAACGATATCATACAGATAAAACAATATAGTGAAGCAGAAGAGTCTTACTATTGTGCTGTCGAAGTACACAACAAATGCTTGCACTGATTCGGCAATATCTCCAGTAACAAGAAATGTGTTTGGTACCACACAGAGGTGAATATCTGCAGAATAATATTTATTATCTATTGTCCAGGGGTAAAAATTCACTCTTCCACTTGTGGTTGCACCCACAGTAAGGTCATCTTTTCCTGTGATACCTATATAAAAGAAAATGAATGAGACAGATGATAAAACTGGCATCAAGAAAGTGATTTGTCTAGAGAAGCTTGGTACAATGCCAATACAGAGCCATCTTTACTATAATAACATATATATTTAAGATCTTTAAAAATTCAAACTCAATTAGTTATTTTGTCCTAGAGTTTATTATTTAGCTTTCAAAAGAGTTTATTTTCTAGCTTTCAAAATAAAATAAGGTACCGAAGCTCTTCAGAAAGCAAGCTTTTTTTCCTGGAAATGCCTTTTAAAGTGTTAGCCTCAAACTCACTACCTGTAAACAGGCTGTATGGAGAGAATACCTAGACTTTATTACAGCAGTAACAAACCTTGCATGTTCATTCAGATGTAAAGAACTGTTTGACTGTGACTAAAACCTGAAGGTAACTAATGAGAAAATAAACCAAGTTACTACAATTCAGTTGTAATTCCCATTAAATTCCATGTAGGAGTTCGACAATTAAAATCCAAGGTGGTGCTTTGATAATGTAATGTTAAACACTGCCCTTCGTGTGCTGGTAGCAACCTGCACAGTGCCCACTCGCAGCGTGACAGCCACCTGGTGGAGTTGAATTATAGTTATTAGCTGAGCATCCCACTTACACCTTGCTGGAAAGGGGAGAATATCTTGTTCAAGCTGGACACTTTAAAACACAGGTCAATTTATATATAAAATTGACTAAGTCATCTAGAATTTCCTTGGGCATCAGAAGATTTAAAAAAAAAAAAAAAAAAAAGTATATGGGTTTTCAGAGATCTTAAAGGTCCTATTTAAAGGTACTGAGAGACAGTTCCTGAAGATGTTAGAACAGGCTGTTCCCCAAATAGTCTGGACATTAATTTGAAACTATCTGTACTTTAACAATATAAAGGCAGGAAAACCCCCTTGTCAAGGTTGCCATAGGAAGGTTCAATGATTTTTTGCAACTAAGTTCGAGAAATCTAACTGGAGAATGAGCACAGTGCACAAGGCAGCACAGAGGAGAGCTCTAAACCAGAAGGATTAAGAGCAGGGGGGGCAGCAGGGCCAGGGAGGGGATTGTCCCCCTATGCTCTGCTCTGGGGAGACCCCCCTGCAGTGCTGGGGCCAGCTCGGGGGCCCCCAACAGCAGAAGGACCGGGAGCTGCTCGAGCGGGGCCAGAGGAGGCCACGGAGATGCTGGGGGGGCTGGAGCAGCTCCCCTGGGGGGCCGGGCTGAGAGAGTTGAGCCTGGAGAAGAGAAGGGAGACTTTGTTGTGGTCTTTCCATATATAGGGGGCTTATAAGATGGAGAAAGACTTATTATCGAGGTCTATAGGACAAGGGACAATAGTTTTGAACTGAGAGAGTGTAGGTTTAGATAAGCTATAGGGAAGATGAGGATGGTGAGGCGCTGGCCCAGGGTGCCCAGAGCAGCTGTGGCTGCCCCCTCCCTGGAAGGGGTCAAGGCCAGGTTGGACGGGGCTGGGAGCACCCTGGGCTGGGGGATTTAGTTTGATATCTTTGGTAAACAGGACAATATTTAATATGTGACAGTTGCTACCTAGACTAGGACTTTCTTTTAAATAGTTATTAGGGCTAATGGAGATAGGTTGCGCCCTGCTTGAACATAAAGTGACGATTCCAGCAACTGGGAGAGGAAACGGGTTAGGCAGACAATGTCACCGTACATGTCTGAAACACAGGGATGCCTTTTATTTCCGGGATTATCTGTTGCCTAGCTTTTCAAATGCAAGCATAGTCTTAGATTTCTGCACTGGAAACCAGATGTTTGCTTTGGAGGTTTTGAATGCTACATAAAATATGCTACAGATTTCCCTTTGCTAGTGTTTTGACAGTTTCAAATAAATAACTAAATAAAAATCAGTTCTAAACTAACAGAATTGCAAGTCTGCCACAAGAAACTAAGAATAAGGGAGCCCCTAAAAATCACTGAAAACCAGAAAATCAGCGATAAGACTTAGAAAGCCCGAGGGAGGAAAACGGAGTGAGGAAAAGAAGTTGGTTCGGAAATCACTTCGGTGAAGTTAGCCACTCTAGCAAGAATACAAAAAGCAAGAACTTCTTACAGAACATTTTCAAAAGCTGATATGAAAGAACTTTCACGTTTGCTTTAAGTGACTTTTTTTTCTTACAGAAGAGTTCATGGACAAATTTAGGTCTCAAAGTACTGTTAGAAGAATGAGGACGTGTCCCATTTCCTATTACATGCCACTTGTTCCTCTATTTTAAGCAGTTGTCTTTCATCCCATTGTGCTTCTAATTACCCATCATTCATCCAAAGAGATTTTGCCAATCCCCTGTGAAATTTCTCCCTCAGTAAAACTGGATGTTGCACACTAAGCTCAAAGAACTGCAGGAACTTTCTGAAAGGATTCAGACTTGCTATGTCTCAGCCTGCGTGTGGGGTTGTAACAAATTACTGCAAGACAGCCTGATTACTCGTGGCAGGAAACTAAATGCAGTTTGGGTATCTTGTGAATAATTCTGTTCTCTTCCACAAAAGTCACTTGGAGCAATTAGGTTTTGGCCTTTAGAGTAAACAAGCGTGGGCTACAAAAGAAATACACGTTGCAACTCGGTTTGAGTTCTCAAGGATATATTCCATGTTGGCTTTGAGGATTACATTTGCCACCTCTGGATTCCAGGAATTTCTTTCCAAGACAGCCTATATTTTAATGAAAAAACTAAATTCGGCCAGAGTAGTTTCATATCTAATTTTAGAGAATATTCACCAGAATAAACACCATTAAGTTTTATTTGGATACTGAATAAACGTCTAGAAAATGAATATGGCAAAAATGGATGGCTTGTCAAAGTTCTCGCTAGTGAGTTACTCATTTTTAATTTTAAACTCCCCAGCCATTGAAAGTGTCAGTGGTTTGCCATCCAAAGAGCCTGGAAAACCAACTGAGTCACTCTGACCACAACAGTAGGCAGGCCTACTGGGCTGACTTAATTAGCTTGCCTGCTCATAGAGCAGAAGCCGCCTGTTTGGATGACAGGAATGCAAACACACTCCAAATGCATCACCATTAAAGACTACCAAAAACACACATGGAAAAATTCATGCCACAAAAGAACACTGCTTCGTGTCATTCAAAAACATGATTTAGAGTTCAAGGTCCTCTAAGAAATACTGCAAGTACTAATGCTGGACACTTACTGAAATAACTTTTACAATCTTACCAATAACTGCTGAATACTAATTAAGATGTACTATATTTCAGCGTCCCACACATCTGTATAAAAGCACTTTGGAGCAATAGAAGCTTCCTCATCTACAGTGAAATATTTGAGGCTAGGAACCAAATTTCTAAACCAGTATCACCCTCGGGTCATTACCTCCTGCATGCATTGGCACCATTCACCTCTGCAACCTCCAAAGCCCACCTATGCCAAGATCACCACATTTGTTGGACAGGGACAATTATCTTCCTCCAGTTTATCCCAGTTCATGACTGACTTTGCCTGTTTTCTATCAGAAAACCATTTAAGAACACAACAGCGACTGACAGACAAGATCGGATCATAGTTCAGTCCAGTGACTGGTATCATAAAGTCCAAACTTCTGCAGAATCTGTCTAGAGGAAAAGGTTTTTTACTTCCAGGCAGTCATTAGCTTATGTTTTTCAGCAAATTCATTAGTTGTGTCCTTTCTTTACTCACAAGTATCTATAACTTTTAATAAACTGGACAAAATTCTGACCAATACTTCTGGAAATTAATTTCAGCTATCAATTTACATACATGTTTGCTCACTTTACTGATTTAGACTTGTTGACTTTTAATTTCATGAGCCTGCATACAGACAAGGTAAATTAAACAATGGTTCAGAAAACAAGGAAGAAGACTTTGCAAAATTGTAAAATCTAATAGCCTTTCCCTTTTTGTAATACAGAGGCTTAGTAAGTGTTCCGCAGGTGCAGGGCAGCAAATACTTTTTCAAAAGGACAACTGGAGACCAAAAATAACTATTCTGAATGAGTGGAATAATAAACAAAGAACCAGATGTAGATCTCTTGCCACTTGCAGCAACGTTACCTGTTCTCTAATACCCAACTGATATTTAAGCACTTCTACTATATAGTGTGTTTAATAGTAATATTTTTTCAGAATCATTACGACTTCTCTTTGCGGGTTTTTATTTTTTTTCAAAGGGATTAAGGTATTGATCACTTTTCCTAGTGTTTTTCAGATTGAACATGTTCTGTAAGAACGTAATTCAGTTTTCTACAATGCCCTAAATGATCCCAAGTCCTCTTGGTAGGTACACCAAGTAGTTCTCATTCTGGGCCTTGAGAGCCACCTGGTGGAATACACCATAAAAAGTACTCCTGCAAATTACACAAGGAGTAAAGAGAACTCAGAAATGTGCTTTGGGGGAGGAGGGGAATGGTAAACAGTCAAAAAAGAAGGAGAAAAAAAAAAATCACATCAGACAGTATTCATCTTTTGGCCAGCATTTTTAAAAACTAAAACAATCTTATTTACTGTTTTAATTTGAGATAAATATATCTAAGAGCCAGTCCTATTCTGTGCATTTTAAATAGCTTTGTTTTGCCACAGTATCTAATGAAACAGAGCATTTGGGGTATCCCGTAGGAACTTGAAAGAATAAAAATATATCCAGCAAATGTGCCATAATATTCTTCTCATCTTCAAGCCGTTTCCTATTTACCAGGATGAAAACACTGGAAAAAGCTTTGTTAATTAGTCTGGAGAGTTCTGGCAGGCAACAGGAGAAATGGGCTCTCGTACTCCTCCTAACAGTGATCATTTTAAGTGGCTTCTTTCTACTTTATAAACCAGGTTTACCTACAAAATGTTCCAAGGAAGTCCAACAATATAGCCGCAAAACCAGTGATAACAGCAATAAGGGCTTTGTTTCATATTTCTGTTACAGACTCAAACCCCAACTGCTGTATGGATCCCACCAACCAGCACAGTATTTAATAGCATATTTAACCATATATATTGTACCTCAAACACTGTGCTGCCTCAGAGGTGCTAATATAATGGTCTTGTTCTCAGCATTGAGTTAAACCGTTTTCAAATGCCTTTAATCTGGAGTGCCACTTCCATGCTGTAAAAGCGCAAGTACTGAAAATTGTACAAGCATTTTGTCTCAATGCACCAAAACCCTCCAGCCCAGCCTGCTGCAGAGAGCCACGGCTGCCTTGTCCTTATCACTATGTCCCTGGATGTTTTACAATGTACGTTCCTCTTATGCTCCTGGATCTGATGTAATTTCACTCGATACACAAAGTAGAAACTCAAAATTCTCATGATATTTATTTTAGTAAATTATCATCTTTCAGAAAGATTTCAATGTCTTTTGTGAAGCAACCCAATTAGAGGATGCAAAGACTATCTATAAGACTCCAGTTTTGGTACAGGAAAACAATGGAATCCTAAACATTTCAAAGTGAGTACTCTTAAAAAAACACTGAAGTTTTAAGACTTTCTCAGATTAAATAGCATTTCTATGAAGCTTTTTGCTCGCCTCCCTTTTTTACTTAATTTGACTCGGAGAAATAATCAAAGGAAAGCTACAGGAACCTTGAACAATTTCTTCCAATTTGCTTATACCTTCCACACGAACAAGCAACAAAGAATAAGATTTTACAGAAACTTATTACTCTCTGGTATGGAATTCTTTAAATAATTCAATAGGAACCCAGCTGCTTTGACAGAGCAGCCTTTGACTGCAGACCTTGTACTGCCATTCTTGTTTCAAAACGTGGTTTAATGAGATAGAAGAAGCCAGTCCTGGGGGCAGCCTGTGCTTTGTCAGGCTCCTAGGTAAAATCTTCCTCTGAAACAGCCAAAAACTAATGCGGAAAAGGGGCTGGGGCTGTTTGTAAGTTATACATCTTAGTATGGCCATCAAACTGTTCCTGACTGTTGCCTAAAAAGCAAGACTGTATCAACAAGCTGTTAATGGCAAAACCACCAAGATTTAAAGAGCTTCTTCCTGGAATCCCCCTGGTTTTAGAATTACTAAAAATTCCACGACAGTTTCCTCCACTATCAGGTCTTATTTTCATGTTCCCTTTTTCAAGGCATAAAAAGAACTGGGTTCCAAGAAAACTGCTTCCTACAGAATGAATTCTACATATTTGACATGGAGTAAGTGTCATCTGCAATTCTGACAACTGCAGAAAGGAAGAATTTTTTAGTTTTCCCTTCTTTGTGCTTCTGCATTGGGACAACAAATGGTCTCAGACCCACCAGGAATTTCAGAAATTCTACCATCCTTAAGGTCCAAGATAGTCTGTTCACTTCAAAAATGGAAAGATGAAGCCAGAGGGACAGTATTTAGCCTGCTTTTGTTTGCCCCTTGCCTTTACTCCCTCTTGTTCTAGGAGCCACTGACATGGCTCAGTAAAACAAGGTAATTTTTGCCCTGTGAATGACCACAATGGGCAGCAGCTAACCTAGTGCTCTCATGAATCTGTTCATTTGTTATTGAAGAGAGTATTATTTTCATTCTCAGTCTCAAGGTAATTCTCGCATTATTTCATCCAGGTATAACTTAGAACAGTTTATTCACACTGTAAGATGGGGTAAGTTGTCAGTGGGTAACAAAGCATTTTGGGGTGTGGGTGTTGGTTGGTTGTTTTTTTTTTGTTGTTTTTGTTTTTGTTTTTTTTTGTCTTGTGGTGGTGATATTGCCTGTTCCTTGGGTGTCAGAAAGTACAAAACACACAATCCGCTGTTTTATACTGAGGAGGGAAGACATATGGTAAATTACAAATTGTTGGTAGCGGCAAGGTCTGTTTACAGGACTGCTTAATGTAATAATATCTTGTTCTCGGTTTCATTACCGGCTATCTTAAATAGCTTATTTCCCGTAAGCAACGAGGAAGCCCCTGACGATGCCAATTAAAGGCCGCAGGCCCGGCGGGGCTCGGCCGCTCTGGGGCCGCTGCGTGGGGGGAGAACAGCCGCTTCTGAGGGCCAGGGCTGGCGGGGAGGAGCTGCCAAGCCTCGGCCCGCAGTCGCGGCCAGGCCGGTGTCCCGCGGCTGCTCCCGGTCGCGGCGGAGACGGCGACTCACGTTTGACGAGCTCCTCGGCCGCGAAGCCGGCGGCGCAGCTGGTCACCAGCGCGAAAGGGCCCGCCGCCGCCATGGCGCCCGCCGCCGCGCCCCTTCCGGCCCCGCCGCTACCACCCGGCTGCGCGGGGGGGGGGGGAGGGCGAGGTGATGAGCGGGCGAGCCTTTCCAAGGAGGGAGCCGGAGGGCGGCCGGTTTGGTGTGCTATCCCTCCCCCTTCCCCCCTGCGGCGAGGCGGGTGGTGCGGTCCGGCCAGCGCGTCCCGTTGCTAAGGGGGAAGGCGGCAGCCGCCATGGCCGGCGTCGTGCGGCCGGGGAAGGAGGCAACAGCCGCCGTCCTGGTGCAGGTGGGTCCGGGCGCTGCCCGAACCGGCCCCGTCCTTCCCCGGTAGCCGTGGCGCCGAGCCCCCGCGGGACCCCTCCTCCCCCGCGGAGGCTGCCTTAGCTCTCGGCTGAGGCGCGGCCTGCTGCTGAGGGGCAGGGAGGGCTCAGCCCCTGAGGGAGCGGCTGCGGCGTGGCAGGTGGATTTGTGGGGGCTGTGTGAATGTTACGGCTCTTAGCGTAAGGAGGCCTTGACCTTTTTTTTTGGTTAACGCGGCGTAGATACACGTTTTTGACGTGAGCTGACACGATCTCCTCCCAGGCTGCCTCTACCTTCAGTCCCTCGTTAACACTTAAGATTTCTGTAGAGTTAAGCAATCTGTGCCAAGACAGATATTTGAAATATGTATGGAAAGATTATTTCCTGGCAAAGGACCTTAGTCTTGAAGTTTATTGTTGTTACTTTGTGAGATTTGTTCTAAAATGAATGTTTTTCAGGTTTTCTACAATCGTCTATTTTAAAGTCATGGGCTTTGTATTCTCTTATTTATAAAACTACGGAAGTATGGAAAGTCATATGTATTTTTTTCCATATTTAGGAGGCATTTATTTTGGATTAAATCCTGCTACACAATCCTATGAGTTTTACTTACAGGTATGATTTTTGTCATAACTGGCTTTTTAGGCTCAAGATGACCTTCACAAGCTTAAAGTGAAAAATACCAACTTGAAAGGAAATGTGGAAGCCGTGGATATTAGTGACCTTGAAACAGCAACTGAAAGAACTGAACTTGGTCTGAGAGTAAGTTAAATAGAGCAGATCCAGAAGATGATTCAGCTTTTGAGCTCTCTGTCAGGAATTCACTTCGAGTACACAGGGCTATGTATCATCCTGCAAGATCCCTTTCTGATTAGCAAATGATGGGATTCATCAGATACTACAGTTCAGAATGATGGTTTCCTTTTTTTGGTCATCAGAATTAACTGATCTTGTGCCCGTTAACCAAAATCAGATCTAGTCTAACAGAAATACAAAGCCTATCAACTTTTCCATTAAGTTGAAAGGCTTGCTAAATTGATTGCTAAATGAACTGAGTTAAATAAATTTAATATCCCTCATACCTTTGTAATAGTCTAAACATTATTTTTTCCCTCTAACAGAAACATTCTGAAAATTATTTAAATGCTATAAACAGACAAGTGTTAACTATTTCTTCTGCTGATAATAAAGAAGTACGTTCAAAAGAGCCCTCTAAATGGTAAGTGAAACAGCTGTTTTATTGCAGAGAAATGCAAGCAGCAAGACAGAAAAACTGTGGTATCAGAATCTTGTAAAGCAAATGGGAATATTGGCCCAGATGAGGTTATTTTGGTCATTTGCTATTTTGGTTTTATTTTAAATTAAACAATACAAAAGTAAACGCAGTTCTAAGTAGCAACAGCAACCTTCTGCTAACTCCTGTGATTTTGTGGCTAAACACAACTTTAAATAAAAATACAGTGTTTCACATTTAACCAGATGGAAGCAGTATGGGTTTAATAGGCAAAATCAAAGTAATTTTTAAAAACCTCACTGTTTGTTTCTTTCTAAATCAGGGGCCTTCATTTTGGTGCTCCTCAGAAGCAGCTTATTTTACCCCGAGTACCTGTTGAGCCCATGACTGTCCAGGCATACAGCAAATCAGCACTACGCATTTCTCAAGGTTCACAGGTCTGAAATAACATACTACTTATTCTGCCAGAGACCACATTAAATGAGTAGACTGGTGTCTTGTAGGTTGCTAGTTGATCCCATAATGTTATGTTCTGGCTCCACATGGATTCAGTTTTTGATAATACTCTATCTATGACTGAAAGTATTAAAAAATTCTCAGTAGAACGAGCAGGCTGGGAGATAGGAGCCTTCTACCAGTCCAGAGAAAATCAAAGTTAGAAAGGATTTCAGTATCATCATGGGTGCATCCACAAGCCTTCCATTCTTTATTCCCCCCCACCACCTCAAGTATATCATTAAAGAGTCCTGAAACCAGATGTTTGTTTGGCTTTAAGGTCGTCCCAGTCCAGCAAATACCATGTGCTTGACTGTAATTCTGCAAGTAGTGTGTTTAAAACGAATGGAACTATATATTGGAATAGCATGAGCACAGATATAAATGTTCGTGGTGTTTGAGACTAAAAGTGTTTTTTCTTTTTTGTTTTTGCATAAAAGATATGACAAATTGTGGGAAAGACTTCTGATAAATATAAGTTTTCTCCTTGAAATCTGACTTTTCGCAGTTTTTCATAAATGAAATCCTTGTTAAGGTCATTTACAAACATTTTGAGGCTTTATCTGGAGTGGTTTTGCTTTTTTATTCTAAGGTGTGAATTTTGACTGGTGCGTTCAAGATGGTTTCCTCAAACATATTTTGAAAACAAATGAAGGTAATTAGCTGAATTAAAAAACACCCATTGTCACAATTTTGGGTTATTACTGTTTAAATCCAAGGAAGCTTTGAGTGAGAGAGAACTGTAAGAGGCTCTCTCGAGTTCTAAGACTGTTGCCAGAAGCTACGGCTTGAAGCTACTTGAAATGGTGTAATCAGAATGAGAAGCCTAACACTTATATTGCTCATTAGCTTTGTAAAAGCAGTCCCAATCTAAAGTAGTATTAAAATATTGCTTCCTCTGGATAAGGTGCAATGAGATCTCTGATTTTTTCCATACTGCGTGCCAACCCTGTCCTGTATGAATACACTTATATTGTGGAAAAAAAAAAAAATTATCAGACTTCAGCTACTCTGTATGGTTTTTCAACTCTTCATGTGCACCAATGAGCTTAAATTACAGTGGAGCACATGCTCTGTCCTATCTTGGCTTTGTCTTTTCATTTCTGATATCTATAGCATCTACTTAGAAACGCATATCCGGTGGCAAACAAGCTAGCCCTAATTTGCCATTAAAAAGAAAATGGCAAACAGTGCTGTTTTGCCAGCTGTTCTACACACCCAGCATGCCAACAGAAAAAAAGCTTTTATTATTAAATAGTTGTGAAATCCAGCTGGGAAGTTATCACCTACGATTCCTTACTTCCTGTCTTTTCCTTACTTGTAGCTATAAACAGTTTTGGGTTTTTTTTAAGCATACTTTGGTGTCTTTTGACATTCCTTTCCACTCAAAGGAAATATTAGTGAACTGAATAGTTTTCTGTTTGCAGACAGTATTTCCGGGTCCGTAGGCTTGAAGAAATCAACACTTCAGCTTGTAGTGGTTCTGAGCTAAATTAATAAGTCACACAGTAATATTTTTGTGCTTTGCAGGCCATGGTGTGCCATTGAAAAGTAGAATTGGAGCGTAAGTTGTCTTTGTAGTAGGTAGGATGAAACAAGGTTGGAGTCAAATAAGCACAGATGCTATTTTCACATACGCATTGCTAGCGTACTTGTCATATGGGAAATAGCTTGCCCACAGGTGTCAGAACAGGCTAAAAATTATTGTTTGCTAACACATACAATATTTCTGAGTCAGCAGCAGCCAGATAAGACTTTGCAAATCTAGCTCACAGAGGGAATTGTGAAGAACTGTCCCCTTTTTTTGTTTCGTGTTTGTTTTTTCCCCCACTATGTGTTGGAATTGGATTTCTTTTTCTAATAAAGCTTGAGAACCATAAAGAGGTGTCTTTCTCATGCAGTAGTTGTACAGCAATGGCTGAAAAGACATTGTTATCCATAACTGGTAGGTGTATATGTTCAAATTATTTTTTTTTTTTAAGAAGACACGCTTAATTGAAAAAACCTGAACCGATGCTGGTGCAGCTTTGATTTTGGGGGGTGTTTTGTCTGTTTTTTCTAAAAATGGATACTTTCTGTGGCATTCTGAATGCACAGTTGTTGTTAATATCCTCTCATCATTAATAGAGTTAAAATGTAAATGAAAAGATGTTTCTAGGGGGCTCTAGGATATGCAAATGACATGAATAGCTAGACATGAAAAGTGGTTTAGCTACTGATAATACGGATTGTTTCAAAGATTAATATAATGCAGTCCATGCATAAAGGAGCTGGAATCTATTAGAAACCATGCACCACGTGCATCTGCAAAACTGAATTACGTAGTGAATCAGATTTGTTGGCTTACTACATTATAAAAACGCCCTCCACTCTGAAATTACTTTTGTGTTGAAGTAGAACAAGATTTGAACCATTTAACTGTTCTGAACATGTCAACCTCTTCTATATTACTCCAGAACACTCCATGGTAATGATTGAACACAATAATTCTCAATTTCATTGAGCATTATATCAGTGATAATGCACTATTCACCCTCCTACTCTCATCTTGTTCTATCTTGAACAATCTTGATGCAGAAGAAGCTTATATTTAAGACTTTAGATAATATAGATGGATGGATAATAAAGATAGAAGAGACCCATGATACCATCTGCTTCAGCTCCTGCAAATGTGGAATTGTCACTTGCCCTTCATCTAAGCTGACACAGTAACTATTATCATTTTTTTTTATTAAGCATTTCAATTCTTGTTATCCTGTGTGGAATCCACCACTCAGCATTGATCATTTCACTGTCAGTCTGAGTGGGGAGTCTGCATTGGGAATCATCTCCTGTTTTAATTGAGAAGGTACCCAATTTTCCCCCAATTCTTGTTTAATAGCACAAGCAGTTTCCTTTCTGTACAGCGGTGTGTTATAGTAATAAAATAAATACCACAAAATCACTGATGAGGTGAAAATTGAACTTTCTGTGCAGCCATGTGGGTAAAAGTAATTGTCTTGGATAATAACTTTTGTTCTTACAAATCCAAATCTAAATGAGCATCTCATTGATACATCTGCTTGTAATTACTATCAAAATTAGAGAATATATTGTACAGATAAATAAATTAAACCTTCTTTAGTGCTTTTGCAAAGAAATACAATTGTTTAATAGTTCAAGTATACATCTAATGATGCTTAAACTTTTTATGTCATATTTTGTTTGTTAAGAAATAGAACTCAAATTTATTTTCACGTTTACACAATAGAAATATCAGCAGAGAGTTCTGGTGTATAAATATGTTTAGTTGGATATTACTATGTAAGGGAGCTTTTTGTATTCCTGTGTCCATGTAATGGGAATTAAGCACATACACAGCCAAGTCCCGAGCTCCTCTGAATTACCTTAGCTCTGGTGACTTCTCCGGTGATACGTTTAGTTTCTGCCATTTGAGGATTCTTCTGTATTCGGCATTGGTTGGTAAATAAACCCTGTTGGGTGCAGACTCTAGTTGGTAATAATAAAAGTACTGGCAGATCCTACTACCCTTGATGCAGATCCAGGTGTAAACTAAAGCACATGCATTAGGATGAACCTAAATGTTTTCAACTTGAGAAACTTCTACTCTTGTAAGAATGTATGGCATCACTTCTGGCTTTTATAGAAAAAGGTGTGTGCTTAAGATACTTCTTAAAACAAGAAGACACTAAAAGTCTTTTTCTGTCCTTCAGGATTTAAATCATAATTTTTATTAGCAGAATAGTTGAATCCATTCCAGGCAGATAACACAGTATGTTAAGAAACTACTATGTTTTAATTCACATTACTTTAAGGATTTTTTATTTCTTCATTTAATTATAAGCAAGTGCTCTATCTGCATTGAGTCAATGGGCCATAACCGATCCAAAGAAGCTGTTCTGGTCCATCGGTCAATGATTCCTGGATTAAAGTCTCTGACAAACTTGGCCAAGGTAGATGGGATTCTTATCATCATCTGTGGGAAGACTGCACATATAACACCCTCCCAATAGGCAGGGTGTGTATAAAAAACATTTGTTATAACACGATTAAATGGAATTCATAAATGACGTGTGATTAATCAAGTGACTCAAACCTGATGGTCCTTTCTATTCAAAGGTGTGCCAATTTGGAAATTTCAGAGTATGTAATGGAATTAACTGAACAAATTTTGGCAAAAGCACATATGTGGATAGTAGTTGTATGTCTTGCTAAGTTTCCATGTAATCAAAAGGCACCTCTTCATTGTTTGCCCTGTTCTGTATGGGTAGTCAAATAACATGAATTTTTATCATAATTTTGCAAATTTATGAACATATTAGCCAATTCCTGCTTATAAACACTTCTGTCTTAGTGCAGTTATTTTAAGGCTATTATATATTTCAGCAGCAGGTGGAAATGGATATGAAAATAATGCTTGACCCAGAGAACATCAATAATAAAGCTGGTTTAATACGACAGAACTATGAGACCCGGCTACCACTTATAACTGAGAAAAAATCTGTTCCTGTAAGTAACTTATATTATCTCATGGGCTTATCATATGCATTATTTTTCACTATTAAATTTAATACATATCAGACCAAAGTAAGAAAAATATTTTAAGTGTAAGTACCTCATCATTCCCTGCTTTTTGACACTGATATGTAACGATCAAAATATTTTGAGTGACAATACTGGGGAAAACAAACCTGTAGCATAAGAGGTTTAGGTAGTAAGACCCCTATCCAGCAATTGTATAAGTGTACGTGGGAGTGTGTGGTAAGTAATCCCAGTAAAATCAGGGAGTGAAAATAAGCAAACTGGAGCTTGTGGAGTTTTGCATGTAACCCAAAGATCAAGGAAGAAATAAAAGGGGTTTTGCTGACAAGAATGAGCTTTCACTTGTTCATTCTCTGTCCATTTCTTAAAAAGACCAGAATGCATTCTGTTTTCAAATGATAACAGGGTTATTGGGAGTAAGTGAAAAATGCTTCTGCTTTGTTTCGATACTCTTTTTAATTGACTTTTTTTGAAAAAGCAATCCTGCTTTATGATTGCTGACCCTGAGCAGAAATCAGTGTCACTGAATCAAAAAAGTAGAGGTTATACTGAAAGAGAATCAGAATTCTAGAGTGACTACGTAAATTTAGGTGTTTACATCTTATTTTTCTGGCGTGATTTGGAAAGGAACGTCGAGTTTTACTTCTTAGCTCCGTGCTGGGAGCACTTACTTTGGAATGTGAGGGACAGATTCAGATCCTCCCTTTCCATATGGAGATATTTCCATCTGTTGTAGATCCCAAATGTCCTCACTGTCAAGCTACAAGGTATGCTGAAGCACAGCCTTTCTTTTATGTCTAGTAAAGCTGTTTCCCGTGGTACAAAACGATTACCTGCCAAAGCTGAGACTGAGCACTTCCACAGCACTTTCTAAGAGTATCCTGACTAGTGGTCATCAAATCATCCTTCTCTATTCTTTTTGGTCTGAGAATGTTTAAGTTGTGCGAGATTAAGTTTTGATTCTTCCCAGTTTCTCTTCTGCAACTGCTGCTCCTCTTAAACAAACAAATGAACACAAAGATGACGTTTTCTACAAAGTATGCTTTTAAAAAAATTTAATAGGCGCAGGCATCCCTCCAAAGATCAACTTTGTTCACAAATGCAGCACAGCACTGTGGTGCTGTGAAAGAATACGCCCAATGGCCTCACACAAGGATGCTCTTCTGCAATTTAATTTATGTAATAAAAGTATTATGCAGCAAGCCCAGTGCTATAAGAGATTTTCTAGGGTATTTGGTTTTAAACAACATAAACAGAATCTGTGAATGACACAGTTGTAAGCTGCCACTTATAAAAAAATGATTTTTGAAAGCTGTTGCCCAGACTAAGAGGTGATTTGTCTAACCCTGTGATATAGAGTTAATTAGAAAAAAGCATCATGGCTAATAGCTTTTTAGAACCACTCTAAAAACACTCACAGAGAGGGATATTATACTACTGCAGAGCCATGTGTTTTACCACTCTCTGAAACATACACTGATCAGAGAAAACTTCTTGATGTTGACTTAAATTGCAAACATTTAGTGTAAATTAGTCAAGCTCTCCGATACATATTTACAGTTGCTGAGGAACTGTTTATGACAGGGAGGTGGGCTGAAAAAACAAGAAATTTCCTATTTCTGGTTTATTCTACAGCACTTACTGAAGTAAATGATTTTTAGAAGTTTCCAAATCTCATGACACAATCTGTTTTGAAATGTTCTGGCTTCACTGGGGGTGAAATTTTGCAATTCAGTTTGCAAAATCCACTACTGAGTTTGTGAATTAAGGTATTTTTGTGAATGTGATCTATACTAGCACTTAGAGGAATGATAGTTATAAATCACCAATAGTAACTAAAACAAGTCAATGTGTAGTTGCAAGTCTAAAATTACATGGTCTTTAGTTTTGGGGAAAAAAAAAAATCAATTAAAGTAGCTACAAGAATTAAGTTAGGTTCTACCTACCCTGTTTTTACTAATCAGCCATTAGAGGGCAATATTTGTACACACACATGCGGGCACACGCGCGTATACCCATGTACATGCCCTAGATATGTACATTAGTTCAAAGATTATCTCCAAAAAAATCAGTGGCAGAAGGACTCTTATTGAAGTAAATTAAAAACTAATTGCTTGGTTAACTTCATTCAAGTTTTTTCCAGGAGTTTGCAGCATCTGAGTTTTCAAGGAGACCTGAGTATTTAAAAATGTGATGAGATTAAAAACACACTGGTTTTGAGGTGACTAGAGAGGTCAAGCTCAAATCTACACGGACTTTTTATTATCCTGCCGTTTGAGTAGTTTGAAAACTTATTAATAAGGATTTAATTGTCTCATGAAAAATGTCTCTTCTTTTCTTGTTCTTTTGGTATTGCAAAGCTGCTGACGCTGGATTTTATGACAGAAACTAAGAACAATTAACTGTTGCCCCTTTGTACCTTTTGGGGTTGATAAGCACTAATGCTTCATCCTCTGTAAAGTTCTGTAGTTATCTTAAAATGAGGACTGTAATTCTGTTGGAAACACCATGGGCAGACTGGGCATCATCTTATTTTGTAGTCTATATCTGGATAACAATGAAAAATGATGAGTAGATAATTATTAAATATGTATACTTCCCATGGAGTATCTGGCAAAACAAATAGTAATCTAAATTGCAGCAAAAATAATTCTGACGTACTGCTGCAATGAAGAAGGGTTTCACAGCTATACCTTTCATTTTCATAGGATTGCTGTTCTTTTCTAGAATTATACTAGCACTTTTTGGTCCTTGTTCTCTTATAAATGTATATTATACTGTAAACTTAGGAACCTTTTAATTTATTCATGAGGTAGAATTTAATATGGTGATGATTTCTAGCTTTTATGAGTTGCATCTTACATAGTGCTAATGGTGATGGCAGTGATTCTGTGTTGTGGTGGGGGTTTTTTTAAGCTAACTTATTTGAGCACAACCATTCTAATCATATCCTCAGTTATTCATTCTTTATTCAGTTTTTGCATCACGCTAATCGCTAATGCTTATCACTGAAAGTCTTAATTTCCAAAATTATAAAGTAAGGCAAAGCAGGGCAATTCTTTTTATTTCAAGTGACTAGAAGAAGTTGTAGAAGAAAACAGGTCTTTTGGTCTTCCAAACCTGATTGCGTTTTAAACCTATACATATGGCTATAATTACAGTCAAAGCATAATTTGGCAGTGGTAGCAGAATGAGACTTAAACAAATAGATGTTGCACTACAGTAATTCAAAAAAAAAAGCTTGTTGCATTTGTATGGTGCTATGTAATCATAATAAGCAGCACAGTGAATTAATAAAATCTTCTTGTCACTAAAAATAAAACGGAAATAATTGGTGAGATAGAGTTAACTTAACAGATGACTATAGTCAGCATCCTTTCAACCTAGAAATGGGAATGTGAAGGTCACTCCCATCTCAGATGACAAACGTAGAACATTTTGTTGGTAAACAAATTAATCTTTTGAAAGGTCACCATTTGTTTTAAGTTTTTATCCAGTTCTTGTCATCTGGAATTGGAGATTGACTGTCATTTTGCTAGGTAGGGGTGCAGCCGAAGCTGCTGAAACTGTTTCTGTACATATCAGCATTCCTTGACAAAACTCAGTGCCTGATTGTGATGCTATGGGCTGCTGGTTTACAGCTGTCTCCGGACAGGAACGGAGGCCCACCCCTGAATTCCAATAAGTTGGTCCTGCATGTTCTGCCTCGTGTAAGCTGGCCCTTTGCCCACAAGTAAAATGTATTGTAGTTCAAGCCAGCAGTTATCTCTCTTACTTCCTTCTGTGCTGCTTCTGTTGCCATTTTCAAAAAGCAGATGTGGGATTCACCAAAGTTCTCCAACTATTCCTTTTGCACCTGTTATGGCAGAATGTTCATAGAGGTAAATTTCTGGGAGAGCTAGCTGTAGGCCATGAAGAGAGCAAAGCTTGATTTTTCCAAGTACATGGAAAATCGATGCTTCAGAGCCATCTCTGGTTACTTTAAGAGCTTAAAGTAGGTAAGAATAACATAGAAGACTTGTTGTTAAAGATGCCTACTTGCTCCATATTGAAGGTTTAATGTTGGCCGTTCCATTTACATTGGACTTTATTTTCTGTAGATAAACAAATTCTGAGGGAGACAATATGTATCTTAGTATTACATCTAAGGGAAACTGTATTAATCATTAGGTAGATAAAAAGCTGGACTACATAAACCTGAATGAGAAGGACAAATTTTAATTTTCTATACCATTTTCCTTCTCAGAAATCTTCTTCAATAAAAAGACAACCAGTCATAAAAATTGGTAATATTTTAAATACCTTACAAAGACTTAGAAATTTTACTCATTTGCCTTTAGAATTGTTCCACTGACATAGGTGAGAATTTTTCATTTGCTTGGCATTCAGTATTTCTGCACTGAATTCTATGTGCTGGTTTTTAGACTTGGAGAACCAAGATTAGGTTATCTAAAACCAGAGTTAAACACTTAATTTCCTTACTATCTATTACTAAGATTATTTGGCTCCATTGTCAGAACAAGGTTCTTTTTCCCAATAGAGACTGATAGACGAATGAAATGTGAGTGAAACTATTCTTTGATGTTGCTTCCTTGCTTTGCTGCTCAGAGTATAAATCAACGCAGGAAAAAATATATCCATTTAGACTGTAAGGCTGTAAAACTATACAATGCAATGAAATCCTATAGTAATTTTCATCTAGAGGAACCCAAAGCTGACCTGATCTATTGTAGACAGTAGACTCAAGGTTGGACTTGATGTCCTACAGAGAGAGATTCCTTCTAACCAACATTTCTATTATTTCTATGATTCTGTGATTGAGAACAAAGAGTGAAAATCACTTGGCACCTCTGCCTTTACTCCATTCGAGTTTTTTTTGCAATCTCAACTGATTTTCTCCCATTGCTTAAAACATAGATACCTCCTCCTCCTGTGTGAACAGCAGGCTCTGTTGATTTGTAACATTT